TATTTATTTTTTCCATAGGAATGCCAAATTCACGCTGATATGTGACAGAAACGTCGATTCAAAGCTTGACGTCATAGGCGAAGATCAAAATAATATAAATGTCCACGTGAGTTGATTTGGGGCCTAAAATGTTTATATTATTTCCATTTAATTTCATTATCATAGACGTGGCTTAAATAAGACATAATTACGTTATTGAATCAATGTGCTTTTATTTTGTTTATCTTATCAAGGGATTATTGTCATTCAAAATATTCCCTGAACATGATTTAATCTGTATTCGACGTGTCATAAGCTTTGTGTTGCGTGAAGTGAGCAATAGTACATGTATACGGCTAAGTGAACTACTACATAATTATATTGTAGAAAGTTTGATAAAAAAAAAGAAATATAAAGCAATTAGAAATAAGATAATTAAACATAAAGAGACAAAAGACGTTTTATAACTGAAACGGAAAAGGAAAAGAGAAACGTTTTGAGCATGAACATTTTTTTAATCACTGCAGACATTCAAACTTACCACCAAATACGCATGCGTAGGCAAAAGTGGGCCGTCTGGCGGCGGACTGAGCGGGGGAACCATTCTGATTATAATGTGAGAGCTTACTATTTATAATGATAATATTATTATTATTATTATTATTATTATTATTATTATTATTATTATTATTATACTGTAAATATATTTATGAATTGAAATGGTATCCTTAAGAGTTTCCAATTCCAACCATACCCCAGTCGTGATTTGTTGGAAGAGAATGTATGATTGGCAGCGGGTAAAACAGTTCTAGAAGTTCTTTTGATCAAAATTTTGGTATTTTGCAAAATTTGTGCCTTCACGTTGATTTGGCGATATGACGTTAAGAGATAGGTGGAAACTCGAACAACCGTACACATTTATAGAAAACTGCTTATGAAGCACAAACTTTGCTCTTTTTTCTTTAATTGCAGACGCAATGATGAATTGCGTAAGGAAATAAAGAATAAGAAAATCCGTCGGGGGGGGGGGTGCAAAGTCTTTGCGCAAACACTTTTAAGTAAAAAGTACTTTCCCTATAAATTTGAAGGTTTTTTTTTTGTTGTTGTACTTTCAGATTTATCTTAGTAGCATTTCTGTATTTTTTCCTTGGCATGTTTGTAATGGTGGCGTACTACAAGGCACGTGGTACTGACATGATCCCCAATAAAAACTTTTGGATGGGATTTCCATTNATTATTATTATTATTATTATTATTATTATTATTATTATTATTATACTGTAAATATATTTATGAATTGAAATGGTATCCTTAAGAGTTTCCAATTCCAACCATACCCCAGTCGTGATTTGTTGGAAGAGAATGTATGATTGGCAGCGGGTAAAACAGTTCTAGAAGTTCTTTTGATCAAAATTTTGGTATTTTGCAAAATTTGTGCCTTCACGTTGATTTGGCGATATGACGTTAAGAGATAGGTGGAAACTCGAACAACCGTACACATTTATAGAAAACTGCTTATGAAGCACAAACTTTGCTCTTTTTTCTTTAATTGCAGACGCAATGATGAATTGCGTAAGGAAATAAAGAATAAGAAAATCCGTCGGGGGGGGGGGTGCAAAGTCTTTGCGCAAACACTTTTAAGTAAAAAGTACTTTCCCTATAAATTTGAAGGTTTTTTTTTTGTTGTTGTACTTTCAGATTTATCTTAGTAGCATTTCTGTATTTTTTCCTTGGCATGTTTGTAATGGTGGCGTACTACAAGGCACGTGGTACTGACATGATCCCCAATAAAAACTTTTGGATGGGATTTCCATTTCTTGTGAAGGTAATGTGGATATAATAGTAATGTGAGCATCGAACCGCACCGTGAAAAATTCAATTGAAATTCCCCTTGAGAAGTTTAGTATTATAAGACCCTGCGGGTATGCGATTTTCTTTGTTTTCCTTGTTAAGTTATGATTGGTATTTCATAGACATTTTATTGGAAACAGTAAGACCCACATTTGCTCATTGAAACAAGCTTCCTAAGAAATATTTTAACGCATTTCTTTTGTAAAAAAAAATAGTTTTCAAACGTGTAAATATTATATTTACCTTTCCCCCATGACCTCATCCCTGTATATATCGGTTTATTTATCAATCTATCTATTTTTGAGTTCATTTATTTGTTGATATATTTATTTATTTACAATTTATTAAGTCATCCATCTATTTATGTTTTCAATAATTTACTTGTAATATTCATTCTTTGTTATATCGCCAACATACACCAATTATTAAAAGCAATATTGTCGATAATTGCATGATCTTTGACATCATACTTGTAATTCTTGTTTTGCAGGACGGGTGCGTCTTCGTGTTCCGCGGGTGCAAATCCGGTGAGGGCTCATACCAAAAAGTATAACGTCAACTGCAAAAACTGAGATCCATTACACATGTGCCCAGATCTATTTTTGAATTTGCAATTTAGGTTTAACTTATTTGCTTCCGGTACATTCGCTATGGTTATTCGCTGTAATTATCTTTAGGCAGACAGTGCAAGTCCAAAAAAAAAAAAAAAAAAAAAAAAGATTTAAGAGGAGATGTCATCTGGATGTCTAAAAATCTTTATAAACTGTCCATATGATTGGAAGAGTAGACTGTTACTTAGCAACAAAGTAATGTTACCTAGCAACAATGGCACTGAGTAGCAATGGTGCCTAGCAAAGGTTACCTGTAGAGATGGGTTGACGTCATGTATTGATTGATCAGCTTCCTGAATAGCACTGTCTGTTTGTACCTTCAAAACAATGACTTTATTCGCAACCCACATACATACAGACTTGACATTTAATATGGAATATTTCAGTTTCGAATGTATGCCTAGGTGAAAATGCGTTTTTTTTTTCACAAACTCCGAGCTCATATAAGATATGTGAATTGAGAAGTGTGTAGTCGGGTGTGTCGCTACCAATTAATTGATTACCAGGTTTGTTGCACTGCTGCATTATGTAATATGCAGTGATTGGGTAGTGCTCCCTTGGGCAGGTCAAAGCTTGACTTTGGCAAAGCATGGTTCTGTCAAAAAAGTATCAATATTTCGGCAACTACTGCATAGATGAATTTGAAATTTTGCAGGCAAGTGGTCGGGTTTGCAGTGTGTAAAATGAGCTATACAGTGCTTTACAACTTTGTTAATCTGTGGCAGAATGGCGCGAAAAATACAGGCATTGCCAGACAGATAATTGCGCCAAACGAAACGGTCCGCACAGTTTTACAGAGTAATGCCCAGACTGATGTACCTACACAGAGGCAACACCCAATGTATTGAAAATCTTACCACCAGGGTACAGGACCCACTGTCCTTCGGGATATGCTGTTGCAACTAAACAAAAACAACAAAGTCCGTTCAGAATGAGGGGTAAATTACCACCAAAACGTATTTTTCAAGGCCCTTAGCGAACACCAAACTGGTTTTAGGAGGTTAGAATACGAGACGACCTCCGAGACACCCACTGTATACAGCAAAACATCGTTGTATGTTTCTCTATTGAATTGGGGACCTTGACTGTTTCTGGGTTGAACACTGAAATCTCGTGGTTTTCTTTATTGAGGTCAGATTTCACCTGTACCGCTCAACAGTCAAAACAGAGTTTACAGACATCCAAAAGAGGCCAACGACGACGCGTGTGCCGCGTCTAAAGTGACTAAGGNGCATCATAGCAACACCGTATATATCGGTTTATTTATCAATCTATCTATTTTTGAGTTCATTTATTTGTTGATATATTTATTTATTTACCATTTATTAAGTCATCCATCTATTTATGTTTTCAATAATTTACTTGTAATATTCATTCTTTGTTATATCGCCAACGTACACCAATCATTAAAAGCAATATTGTCGATAATTGCATGATCTTTGACATATTACTTGTAATTCTTGTTTTGCAGGACGGGTGCGTCTTCGTGTTCCGCGGGTGCAAATCCGGTGAGGGCTCATACCAAAAAGTATAACGTCAACTGCAAAAACTGAGATCCATTACACATGTGCCCAGATCTATTTTTGAATTTGCAATTTAGGTTTAACTTATTTGCTTCCGGTACATTCGCTATGGTTATTCGCTGTAATTATCTTTAGGCAGACAGTGCAAGTCCAAAAAAAAAAAAAAAAGATTTAAGAGGAGATGTCATCTGGATGTCTAAAAATCTTTATAAACTGTCCATATGATTGGACGAGAAGACTGTTACTTAGCAACAAAGTAATGTTACCTAGCAACAATGGCACTGAGTAGCAATGGTGCCTAGCAAAGGTTACCAGTAGCGATGGGTCGACGTCATGAATTGATTGATTAGCTGCCTGAATAGCAACGTCATGTTTGAAGCTTCAAAACAATGATTTTATTTGTAACCCACATATGCAAATATAGATTGACAGAAAAATGATCACTTTTCAATACAAAAGCAGTATATTTTACGTGCAAAAATCTCCTTGAAACATATTTTGTCGCCCCTTCGTTGATTTTACGTTAAGTGAACAATTTCAGCTTTGTTTTTTTTTTATATATAAATATCGAACTAAACGCTCTCCATTAGCAGTGTGTGTTAAGGTGTATGCAATTAGAATGACGTTTTTCTTGCTTAATGCTTAAATAATCCTTACCAGTGGCAAAATTACCACATTTAGATAAGCTACATATGCTTTTATACAACTGATGACAGATAAGAAGAAATAAACTGCATGTACGGTATGAACGATGATAACCATGAAATAATGTTTGGCTGCTTAAGTCATAAACGTCCCTATCTTGAGGGAAACCATCTTAAACGCCCCCTACGGGTCATGAAAATAAAGACAGCAAAAATAACTATGGCATCCAAATACATAACGTTATACATAAGTTGCTTAAAACAAGTCTCTGAATTTTGCGAGCCACGTGCTTGTAAGTCACGGTCACTTTGGCTCGCAAGTTTAACAACTGTACCTAGTTTTACTGGTTTGGAGTCACGTGGTTTCATATCCGGCCAGTAGCGATCCCACGTGGTTTTCAACTCGTATATCTCCATGGTTACAATATCCACGTCAGACCCAGAGACGTAGACATCAACACCATCGCTCGTCTCGTTTGGAAAAATCCTACTTGTTATAACTTGGCGCCCGTTGTTGGCAAAGAGTTCCACGGAGGACCAGTCCACGAAGATCCAAAGTTTTACGACGCCATTCTGTAAAACAACTGGCGCGAGATCAACACGACTCATTTTCGGGTGCATGAAGCCAGACGACGTGCGGTCGATGTAAACAGATCTAGAGCTCTTCGTGTGCCTGTATCCGATTCTTGTTTCTTCTTTGGCGCCTTTCATGACAATTATGCCGACGTCTTTTGTTCCAGCTTTGGGTCTTATTTCCGCCTTGATTTCCAGCAGCCGCCCCCGTAACGGCTGCTCGCTGAGCTTCTTTTGAACCTGACAATAGCAAACTTATTAAAACACATCAACATATTGAAGTCCTATGTATATTCGTAACGTGGGGTATAATAATAATGAGGGATAGTTTGAGTCATTGAATACATGGATAATACACGCTCAGCTGTCACCTTGATTGGATAGTAAACGGTTGTCGTAAAATCGCTAAATGATATTAAAACCCGGTGCATAAACTTGAAAACCACCTAGGACAACCTTAGACTGCCACATTAATCCAATACAATGCAAAAATAAACTATAACAAGTGGTTAAAGCCTTCAAACCGAATGTCGTAAAGTCCCCATATACCTCCATAGAGACAATAAAATAGAGTAAGCTTGTGAAACAAGAATCCACCAACTTAAACATAATAATCGAAATAAAATACTGCCGGGCAGCGGAGCGGCCTAAAACTTGGCACGCTTACCGCAAATACTGCAGGCTATATCATCCCGTCGCTCGTTTGTAAATTCCGTGCATGGCATACACACAATCAAACCGTAAATCAAAATTCCACCTCTGATGTTTATTTCGGTCCACTCTAACCTCCAATTAAGAAAAAGAAGCCATGCCATTGGACAATACGACCTCTGCGGTTACGTCATTTCCTGAATTGGATTGTGGAGAGGACCGAAATAAACATCAGAGGTGGAATTTTGATTTACGGTTTGATTGTGCCACATTCCTGTGACCCCACCCACCCCTATTCGCAACCTGAAACAACTTACACTGGCAATATCCGTGTTGGCGACTTCCAACGTTTTCTTCACGCGCAGCATCTCCATCTCTTTAATGGGCCTCTGGACCAGCAACACCTCGTTGTTTTCTCTCTCGAGGAACAGCTCCCTGATCATGCTCTGAGCTCCAATGAAGGGTGTGGTGGGTATGGACGAACAGGTCTCCCAGACACTAAAGATAGGAGTAAGACCACGTTCACATTCAAATATTATACCAGCTGGATCGATCCAACCCTGCGGGGATTCTCGTTTAATTGCATTTAGTGTAATCAGTTTAAATATCTGACGCGCCTCCTTGAATAGCTAGGGGATAATTAATTGTTGTGTGCGCTAGGCTGAATTACCCCCTAGCAGCTCGAAGAGGCGTGTCAGAAGTTTAAGCCGATCACAGTGATAACACTTACCCTCTACCAGGGTGACAGATTGATTTCCCACAGATATGCACAGATATGTCTCTAGATAAATAGACGGCCATGTTGGTCTGTTGTCAACAACAGGTAGAGGGTAGATAACACTTATGGAGAATCTCCAAAAAGAGTTGGATTACAAGTACAGGTACATTGGTTGGGTCACGCACAAGGATAAAAGATTATGCAAAACATGTGACGGTTACAATTTTACTATAACAACAAAATAATATGCAGTGTTTTGTCTCGTTTTTTTATTTTTTAAAAATTATTTATTCATTTATTTTTTTTTTTTTGGGGGGAGGGGGTATTTAAAACGTATAGGGAGCGGCTTTCATACCGATAAGCGTCCGCTATGCACTCTCTAGAATTCGCCCATGATATACTGAACCTACCACATCCAGGCAATGTATAGCCGCCTATTGTCTATGTGATTGTTCCAGGTATTGCCGGCTGTAAAGTCTTGACCGTAGTCCATCAACTTTGCTTTAGGCTTGTCGGACTTGTAGCTAGTTCCATCAAATTCACCTATAAATATTATTTGTTTCAATCAAGCAGTGTTATGCAATTTAAATTACAGCCCAACTACAATACATCACAAAACAATTCACATTTTTGCCCTTAAAATTAATTTTGATTGATTGTAATTATTATTTATGTTTTCTGTGCTGACAATTAACTTACCTGTATGGGAATCTGCCCTTATAAACCTCCATAAGACGAAAACAATATTCGTCAATTAACAGTTCTCATGAACATAAAATACACTCCATATAAGCTGGCAGTAAATACTAGTATTAAGGTAAATTAAAAAGTTGACGTTAAGGGTGTAATATGTCTAACATTAAGCACACACACGAACTTCAACACATACACACATATAACTGTTCAAATTTATTTTTTAAAAATTTAATTTGAACTAATTTTCAAAATAAGACCTTATAATTATTTAAAATTAGTTAAATTTAAAATGCATAAAAGATTAAAGGGTTCTATTCTTAGCTTCTACGCTCATTTAATGTGATTTGGATCAATTTCGTTCACCGTTCTTGACTTTCCTGAATCTCGGGAAACCGCTGTCTGCTACTTTCTAAATATTTTACCCTTTTTACAAGTTCACATACCTACAAAATACAGCACAGATCTTCTTGGCACGGATCCAATCCCTGTCACCACTGGCACCACCCACTTTTTAGTATTTTCTCCTTCGATTGGTATCTGAAACAAGTCAGGACACTCCCACTCCTTATTTGGAATTGTCCCATCTGGTCCCATCTCACTCAAGTGCGTCCAGTTTTTTAGATTTGGCGATGAGTAGAAATGAAAGCGAATTCTTCCTTGCGCTTGGGCTACGGCCATGATCCACCGTTTTGTCGGTTCGTACCAAAATACTTTCGGATCTCGGAAATGGGTGTGGCCGTTGCTAAGCACCGGGTTATTGACATACTTGGTCCATGTCATGCCTCCATCTAAACTATAGGATAATCGTTCGTCCGCCGCATGTGTGTACCTAAGATTAGAAAGTATGCATTATGATATCCCTCTGATATAAAGGGCCTCTAAAATACATGTAGTAAAAATGTACAAAATTTAAGTACAATGTATTTTGCAGCAGACAACTAGCGCACCCTGTGGTCAGAGAGTAGCATTAAGGGACACAGTACGCCAGAGATCTTGGGGCGGTAAATTTTCCTGGAATATTCATCACTTGCATAGTAAAAAAGAGGTTGTTAACTTTTATTTATAAATAACTTCTGTATATAAAGGTTTTAAGTGCATTGAATGTATTCAAATGGTTTTACGTACCACTTTTGCCATCTTTGAATTCTGAGCTACATGTACCTGTATACGTAATAATTCTTTTATGCACATCTAAATTGACCATTTATATGCCAGGTTTAAAAGGTGAAATGATACCAAACTATTGTTGTTTATCGTTTTGTTAATTTACTTTGTGTTTGGATCTGGAACCGCAACAGTCAAATTTTTAATTTCAAAATGATAACCTTAAACTAGAGTCTGGTTTTTCTAATTAACAAGTCAAGGAACGTACCAAATAGAAGCTGGTACAGAAATTGCTCATTTGCAAAAAAAAAAATAAATAAATAAAAAATAAAAAAATAAAAATAAAAATAAAATAAAAAAGAAGAAAATGAAAATCTGAAGAAAAGAGATCGCGATATTCATGTAATATTTACTTTTCATTTGACCCACCAATTGTCTCCAGCGAAAACAGCCACCAGGGGGACAGCACCATTGCAAGAAAAGCCAGTGGTATTGTGCACATCCACCACCGTACTTCCGCTGTATGCAACCACGCCTACGGTCTCGGGAATGGCCAGCGGCCAGTGATCCCAGTGAATTAAATCATCGCTGACCGCATGACCCCAGCTGGTGTACCTGTTGGGTTTTACCCCTGTAATTAAAGTATATATATATATATATATATATATATATATATATATATATCACATTTATACTGTATTTAACCTTTGCTTAGAATTCTACATAGGAGCCTAGTAAATGACTTGTTGGGCCGCTTTATTGGGGAGGTGCATTTTAGAATTTTAAATGCGCAGTTACCGGTTAAACTGATACAATATACATGTACGTGTACTGTATGTGTCACGTCTAAATGCACATCAATCTGATTATATTGTCATAACTCATAACGATCTGATCAAGTTGAAGACAACAGCAACGTTATCGAAGGATTATATTATTTATATCATACCGGATTAAACTGAAGATAAATCATATATTATCACATGCAAATGTCACAAACCGGATAACTGGTAAAATGTGAACACTTACCAACCGGATCATATTGATAAAACAAATGCCATTTCCCGCCATACGCTACCAGGCCACACGGATCGTTCATCATATTCACTTCGGCTGTAAAGTGGTACTGAGGACGCCACTGCTCATGATAGAGCTTGGTCTTGACTTTACTTCCTAAATTATAAATAAAATTGCTTATTTTATTTCAGCGGTATTGATGATCGAGTCCGAAATTTTCTGCAGGGCCTGTCACGAATTGGTGAAATAGAAGATAATAGATATTGAACGTTTGGATATATAAAGTGTCGCCTAAGATATAAGAGTGTCGCCTAAAGGTACGACATTTTTTGTATAATATATTATAAAGCCACACACAGTAAAAATCTTTTTAATATTATAGAATTTTTAACTTTGGCTTTGGCCAATATGTTGTTTTGCAGGCCTCAGAAAAATCATATCGCCCGAGGTGCACTTAAAAGTCCAGATTACATATCTTGTATTATAAAGCTTATACGGGTATCTAATATAACATCAACATATAACATTCAATACAGATTTTTCATGGATCCTTTTCCATCCCCCCCCCCCCCCAAGTAAGATCAAAAGGACTGAAGAACTAGCAAATATCGGGAGGACCAAAAACAATACTAATTTTTAAAATTTGATTACTTTAACAGTTCACACGCATTTGAAATAATTTTTTTCATAATTTTTTGAAACATTATTGTTGGTCAACCATTAAATGTTAAACGGTTTTGATATGATCATTAAAACAAAGACACATGCTGCAGTGTCACAACCTGTCAGGAGTCACATAGGCCTACATGGTATTTTTGACTTGCGTTTTTTTTTTAATATTTGTGAAATTTTCAGTATTTATTAAAGACATCATTTTCCTATAATATCCCAAATTATCTCAAAAAATGTTGAAGTTTTTGAACTTTTAAATAAGTAACTTTTTTGAACTACCCGATATTCTGTATCAACGTGCAGGACCTACCTTCTGGATAAACATCTTTGAAAAGAACAAAAACCAAAACAAGCAGACGTCTGCGGTAATCCATTTTAATGTTGTGATGGTAACACAGTCACGTAATGTTGCCCTGAGTCTGCAAAATAAGAAATTGAGTAAATTTTCTTCAAACAACAATTAATATTGAAATTGTGTACTTCCAATATTTCACCGTCTCAGACAGACTCTGTCTAGAGTATCTTCATCAGAAAATGAGTCTCTTTCTCTCACTCTTTCAATATTCGTTGTTGATGGAAGAAGGAATACTGTACTTTATTCTTATAACATAACCTAGCCGATGAAAGTATCCTCTAAAAAACGAACAATATTTGACGGTACATACCTAGAGATATTATGTGACCATAGTAATATACTCCGCAATCCGCTTTAGAGGTGTGTGTGAGAGAGAAAGAGAGAGAGAGAGAGAGGATGATGAGCGTCCATCAAGACATATGCAGATTGCCAAAATAATCGACATGAAAACCGCAGTTATCAAATATTTCTAAACATATGGTCTCACATAAGGAGCACCAGTCTCAAAGCATACGCTTCCACTACATACCTACCCTCTACATGTACCACGGCCGCAGTTATTATTATGTTGACATTTTCGCTACTGCACAGTATAGAAAATAACCGTGAATTTAACCAGAGACATATCTATGAATATCTAGTGAAAAGTCAATCTGTGGCCCTGGTAGAGGGTTTTACCAGGGCCGTAGCCTCCGGGGGGGCAGGGGGGGCAGCTGCCCCCCCTGTGATTTGAGGTGCAAAAAAAATCGCAATTTCTGACTTCTGATTGAGCAATAAATAACAGTTAAAATGCACCAGAATGCAGTATTATACATACAGTTTTTAAATTTTTTCCACACCGTGGGACACCCCCTCCCACAACCTCCCCACTCAGGGGGCTTTGCCCCCTCGTGTCCGCTTACTGCCCCCCCCCTGGCATTTTGCTCAGGCTACGGCCCTGGTTTTACATACCTTTAATTAGCAGATTAATTGGATCCCCCTGTACCTACTGTACCCCGGCTGCTCAATCCTGATTTTACCAGGCAAGGCAATGATAGTGCACCAAATACAGGAATGGCGACCCCCGTAATCTCACTTCCCGTGCGTGTGACGGGAAAACCTTACGGCGACACCCTGAGAAACAAAATTAATACATATTGCCTCGCCCGAAGCAGTTGTAAACTCCCATATTAACGCTTAACATAGGGAATATTTTACATTCGTCTTAGTTAAAATGAAGCACTTTGAGACTTGGCGATTTGCTGACAATCGCCTGCTCGTTTTAACCCTTTTAACAGATTTATATCCCAAAAATGGTAGATAAATAAGGATTTACTATCAATACCCGGTAACGTACTCCGGTATGCTCCGGTACTTAATTACTAGACAAAAGTTTACAGGTAACAGTTAAGATCTAAAAATACAAGCGGTCCGCAAGCCTCTGTTACATATGCTTTCTATAAAAAAACGCATTTGTGTTGTGTGAACCACATTATTCAATCAAGTAATGCAAAAAGATTAATGTGATGTCAATATATATTATATTTTCGTCACTCTTAGCAGCGCGCATTTATACTTATAGTCTGAATATGACGACTGCAACGATCCACACAGCTGACATTCCGTCAGCTAATTATTTCCGGTTTGAATTAAGAAACTGCATGGGGAGATCCGTGTAACAGAGACCCACACACACACCCCCTTTAGATTGAAAGGGGCCGTAGCAATAGTCCGAAGGTTCATTGGTCCGAATGTTCACTACAGAACCTTCGGACCAACGAACCCTTGATTAAAAAACCGATAAAAATGTTACCGTTTTTCGGACCAATGAACCTTCGGACCAATGAACCTTCGGACTATCGAGACGCCCCCGATTCGAACAGGTTAGGATTAGTGTGACGGACGCGGATCAAAATCTAGGACGCGGCTTACCTTAACTTGTGTCTCAGGAGACTTTCACTCGTACAGAACACTGGGCTAAAGGACGAGACGGTGACTGGCCGATATTTGTACAGTACAGGGGCGGATTTAGGCCGTCTTCTGGGTCTTCCGGAAGACGGTCAGATTTCCAAGTTTACATTAACGGGTATCCAATTTTTCATGTTGGAAGACGGTCAAAATTGGAGAATGAATCAACAAAGATAATTTGGAAGGCTGTCAGTAAATAGGTCTGGATCCGCCCCTGCAGTACGTCCCATACCCCGAAGCTACACCTTGGGGGACACTTTGTGACACGAGGGGGGGGGGGGTAAGATTTAGGGCGCATTTAGATTCACATATCGTAAAAGCTGGGTCGGTCCAACTCTGCTGGGGATTCTCGCTGTAGTTCAACAGTAGAATTAAGCTGAACCAGTTCACGATAGTTAATAACCCCCCTAGCTACTCGAGAAGGCGTGTCTTCGCTCTATATCCAAGTACTTTTGCCCAAGGGCAGACGTATGAAAACCAGTCTCTCTTTTTTAAAGGATGAAATACAGGGGCGGATTGAGGCTGTCTTCTGGGTCTTCCGGAAGACGGTCAAATTTCTAAGTTTGCATTGATGAGTAACTAATTTTTTCTGTCGGAAGACGGTCAAAAAATGGAGGATGGATAAACATAGATAATATGGAAGACTGTCAGAAAATATATCTGGATCCGCCCCTGAAATACTGATGAAAAAAACATTCGTGTCTTATTGTTTTCTTTTCTTTTCTGGTTAAATTTTGGCTTGAAGTTTGCAGTATATTGTCTGCCATTTAGAATATGATTTATGCTATTAATACCTTGGCCCACTTTAACCGTGTTAAAAAACAAAGAATGAGTGAGTGAAGAATGATATATAAAAAGTCGAAACTGTATTTCAATGTACCTTAATTGGTGAATTAGTATTAATAATTCAACGCCTTATTTTTTAATCTCACATCTTGTGTTAGCCGCTAAAAACAATGTACAACATCTAAATGTTTAACAACGTTTAAAGACACTGCATTGGGCGAGATATGGGACATAATATGCGATATGATGACTATGATTCCATCCTTTGACCTGTGCAAAATATAAATAAATAAACGAATTGTTTAAGATAGCAAAAAAAAAAAAAAAAAAAAAGAAGAAGAAGAAGATTTAGGAATACGCGTGATTGATGATTTATGGTTATACATTAAATATACGCCTAAGTGACAGTGATATATATTTTTATCTGTAAAGCTTTATGTTTCTATAAGGGAGCTATTACACGTTCCCTTTGGATTTACCGATTGCAGCAGAGATCATTTCTGTTCCCCTCCAGATGGCGCTATAGAACGTACTTATCTTTGATGCATTGTAAAGAATGATGCATGATGAACACTCGTTTGTAATATTTTTCCCACGTGCTATTTTGTCCTTCATGTCTGCTTTATTTCATCACGTACCTCATGACAGTGAAAATTGCAATTGTGCCTCACGTTAACTACACAGAATGTGATCGTTTTAAAAAATATCTTTCATTAATTAGTATTTTTAATTTTTAATTCTTAACCTATTTCATTGTTTTAGAAAAACATTTAGTTTAAATATTTCAAATCTTATTCAAGTTAATTGAAAGTTCAATATAGGCAAAACTGGTATTTCAAGAACACTATTATAAACTAGTTTTTTTAATTTTTATGTCCTTTTTAGAGTATTAATTAACAACAGTTTTAGTTATTAGCTCTGTCCCAAGTTCATTATCTAAAATTGACTTTTAAACATTGTACCACTTCAACCTTTAGGTTGCAATTTTACTGAATAAACTATTAGTATTATTACTATTATTAGAAAGAAGAGTCCGAATAAGATATATTGCATCAATAAAATAGCATCTTTGTGCGATTTTTGTGATGGATGTAATTCAACATATCTTAACGCAATGCACTGGACAAAACTTAATATGGGATATGGATTCTTCCTTGAAACTCTGCAACCCCTAACAAACAAACAAAGATAGCAAGAATGATGATTTATTTTTATGCATGATTGATGATGTGTGATTATAAATATAAATGAAAATGACATACATTAAGGGTATTAAATATCTGCAACCTGTAGAGCTACGTTTGTGCGCACTCTCTGGAGTTGCTACCAGCTTTTGGTGAATGTAGCAATCATTATATAATGATACTGAATTCATATACAAAACATTCCCATAGAATTTATATCGATCCATCCCCATGGGGAGTATCACTAGATTACTGTCAGATAATCCGTCTTAAATGTCCGTCCCACCTACTACAAGCTGTAAGGGGGTAATTAATTTTCGTGCCCGCTCGGCTGACAGCTATTTAGCATGAACCCCCATCTAGTTGGATCGATCTAATCTCTGGGAATGGGGTCCAAATGTAATCACAGATATTCATCATCTGTTGGTCACTGTTGACACACAGAGAATTTCACCTAAGAGATGGACTAATCCTTAAAGGCATATATTGCATGTTAAACGTTTACACAGCAAAAACGATGATTGCCCAACAACTTAACTTTATCAGCATGGCAAATGCTACCCAAAAGTGTAAAGAAAACCAAGACCTAAATATCCATTTCTTTTTCCTTTTTTCATCTTTTTTCCTAAAAGTGGAGTTCCTTAGACTCTTCATCCCAATAACAAAAGTGTCTAAAAATTCAAAACTTACAAAGCCATAACCAATTTATAGATAATGATTTTGTTAATTATTTTGGATATGGTATACATTGGTGTTCCAAAGGAAAATATGAACATTTCAGAAATTCTTTCAATTGCTATATAAATGTTTAATGCTCAACAAATGACCTTGATATGAAGGTCACAGCACAGCTTAACAATCATAAGTAAATCCACATATGATACAGGAACAACGGGCAGCATATGTTTCTTGGATGTGATCCCTGAAGACAAAAAAAAAAAAAAAAAAAATCCAGAAATTTACCATCACTTTACGTTGTCATCCCAGCAACCATTTTGGGTTTTCTCAATTATAATCCTCATAAATGTATAAATAAAAGGCAAGAACAGGCATCAGATGTTTATGGATTTAAAAAAAAAAAAAAAAACAACAACATGGATAAAAAAACAACAGACCATTCTCGATGAGGATCCTGTTATATTAAACAGGGATGATGCTACCACTTCGTGAAAAACGTCTGAAAATATAGCATGGGGCCCAGGGGGCTGCCTGCATTTTCTCAAAAATGATATTTTTGGCTCCCAAAAAGTCAGAAATCCACCAACAGTCAGGAAAATCTTATTACTGATTAAAACCCCCCAGAAACTTGAGATCCCTATAAGCTGTTGTCTCAACAATGGTCACGTGTATTCACATATATGGCCACACCCTGTAGGGCAGTGTTTATGGGTCATCAGCCACTCTCGTAAATGTTCTAAATGGCCACCATGAGAACATCCCTGACACCAGGCAAAGAGACCTTTCACTGGTAAGTGACTGGAAAAGAAAAGAAATATAGAATACTGTGAAAAAGTATGTGAAAAAAAATATTATATAAATGAATATTCAATTCCTGTAAATGACCCTTATTAGGGAGTTGATAAATTTAAAAAAATATATACATAGGGAATTTAGTAAAATGTGTTTTAGTTTTGTCAAAATAATTTTCAAAAAAGAAAAAAAAATCTTATAAATACATACACGTAAAAGTGTAACATACTTTTCTTTAAAAAAATAGGTCAGATATGGCATATAGTTCTTTTTGTACTAGTAACTCTGGCAAAAGTATTAAGCACTCCAAGCCTGTAGCCAGGGGGGATCAAAAGAACCCCCTTTTTGTCGGGGAAAATGTCCCCTCTGGTTAAATTTTTATCCAGGTACACGACGGTTTCATGCATGGTAAAAGGTCCATTTTTTCAAAAAAAAAAGAACCCCCAGTCCCTCTTTTAAAACTGCTGGCTACGGGCCTGCACTCACCACATACATGTACTACCAAGAACTAGTCCCAGTTTCACAAAAAAACTTAAGTCAGTTCTCTGGCTTAGCTGACTAGGATCTCCATGAGAGTGCTGTAACACTGCACCTGATAGGATGAGATGTGCCCACATGACCATGTAACCTTGGTAATTAAGCTCTTAGCCAGGGAACCTGACTTAAGTTTTTTTGTGAAACGAGGACCTGATCACTCACCATATACTACACGTGCTGGTCAAGGCCTTACACCGGTCACACAACCAGCCAGCTCTGGTCAGTGGCTTGAAACACTTATTACAGTTGGTGTGGACAGTGGTGGACTGCTGGTTGAGACTGGCCACTGCCCGATGGCTACTGAGCTTGATGACCTCGTTGGCTATACCCCATAACCGGAACCTGGTCAGTAACTCTGGGGGAAAAAAATCAATTTGTTCAAATATGTTTAATAATTTAAGGAATGAATAGTTGAAAAAACTCTTGGTTTTAAAGTTAGGGCCAGCTTCTGACTTAACTTCTTTTGTCCAACTGAGTTTAGAATCTTTGGACGATGTTGAAACTTCATGGATTTGTATTTAAAATTAAACCTCAATGAAGATGGCTGCTACTAATTTACATTGAAATATTTGTTGACAACATACTTTCTGACATGAGATACAAGTCTCTTTTCAGAATGTTTAAATAATCTTTATAACATATATCTATTAAAAAAATTAATGGATTTCATTGGAGTTTTGTTATTATCTTAATTCCCAACCTTTACCTAAATAAGCCATAAACCACTGTTCTTGTTTTTGATCTTCAACTGGAGTTTTCATTTTATTTCCTAGAATGATGAGGACAGATACTGACGTCTGAACATCTCCCTGGAATGTGAAAATAGTCCAGGTTTTAATTTTTTAAAGGGCTCATTCCCATTAAATCTACTGGACTCTGCAGATCGATCCAACTTCGCGGGGACTTGCAGAATGTAATTGGTTACATAGATTAACGTGCCCCCTCCTGGCGTTGAGTAAAATACTGAAAAGCCGGTGATGATATGAGTGTGTTAGAAATAACAGTGTCTACTACCCTATTATGTACTATATATATTATATATAATTGTATACTCACTGGGAGTTGCCAAATAAACCAGTAGATTTGATCAAAAGAAACCAATCAATACACAAAAATAAATTGTCCAAATTTCATGTAAGTTAGTATTTCACTCAATAATTTGGGTTCATGGATTTTTATTTTGGATCAGCATATTTTACGAAAAAAAAAAAAAAAGAAGCAAAATAACTGATCCCCCCACCTGTTCAGCAAAGTACTCTAACATATCACAGACAAGATGAGAAAACTCCCACGGTGGATTCTGACTTGCAAAAGGTATGGCTTGGAGATTGTACATTGGGGTTGCGTTTTCTGCATTGCCGAATGCTTGTGAGCTAAATTCACTTTCGTTGGCACTAGAGGGTGAGTCTGTGGCATTTTGTAGGGGGTCTGGCGAGTCCAACCTGTCCTGGATTTCGTGACGAAGTGGGATTGCCTCTGTTGGAAGTGTCCAATCCTGAAAAAAAAAATTAATGATAAATATTATCATTATTGAAAAAAGACGTGCGTAACTGCTATCCTTTAAAGCCACAACAATGCAGGTCAGATCTTTAAATTGCAATTAATTAGTAATCAAGTGAATCAGTGTTATTTTACACATTGTAATTTTCAGAACAAATTTGGATAGGGTATATCATAAAGTTGGTGATAAAAAGAAAACTGCTGAAACTACATGAAGGTGTACTACTCAGTGAGTGCCTTAAAGGGTAAAATTGCAAAATAAAATGTAATAAATCATTATTCAAGTTAGCTTTTAGGTTTATTTTTAAGTCATGGTAGAGAATGAATTTTAATGGTGGCAGAAAAAGTGAAAATTCAGTACTCAAAATCTGTGTACAGATTTTTATTTTTCTGAAATGTTTATATAAAGAGCACACTGGTGAAATTTCAAGAAAATCTGTTTTTGAAAATTAAAAAATTTAGAACCTAAAAATAGGTTTATACATCCCATTTTTCTCAAATTGGATTTTTAGGGTTTAAGCAAGGTATACCTTGGTGTTTACAGGAAAATTATTCAAATTTCATTATGTTCTTTCTTTCATTTAGATTATGCTATATACAGTGATGAGACTGCCCTTTAGAGAAAAAGTTGGAAAATATGGCAGGGAGTTCAGGGGGCTGCCTAGGCCAATGATATTTTTGGCTCCCAAAAAGTCACACATATGCCAATAGTGAGAAAAACCTCATCCCTGTATGTAAAGGTCTAATACACATTGTATGTCTTGTTATGTAATATCAAGGTCACACTGCCTATAGCTACCTGCATACTGTCCATATTGGCCATTGTTACTGGATAGTCAAAAGTTTCCAGTTCCCCGTCACCAAAGAAAAAATCTCCTTGCTGGTTGACCTGTCCACTGGCAATGTTTGTTAGACTCAGAGAGGATTCTGCGTCAGATTCATCTTCACTAACAGCTAAAAGAATAATGATTTCATGGGACATCAAAAAAAGGCATTCCTCAAATTAATTTTTTAGGTTATATATCTGCCTCACAATTAAGCAGATCCATTAAAAATTTTATTTAAATTTATCTTAAAATTAATCTTTACTAGCACCTGTGGAATTGTCCCCTGTATAAACATGGATCAATGTGTTTTTGAATAAATTATGCTAATGATGATAAATAAATTATGCTAATCACCTGTGGAGGTGTCCCCAGTGTCTTTATTCTCCCCGTCAGTGTGCGTGCTTCTGTTGTGATCCTGCACAAGGTGGCCGTCCAGTTGCTGCTTCAAGTTCACTGTAATGACATCAGATATGGAGAAATAGTTACCTTGCTGTGTAGTTTGTTATCATCTATCATCATTATATAAATATACTGTTTTTTTTTTTTTGCTTTAGATAAGCTATTAAAATAATAACTTCATGCCTCTCTCTCTCTCTCTCTTTCTCTCTCTGTCATCAGCCTTATGACTTACATTTCATTTGGCACAATGCAGAGCCTCACTTCTTGTATGTTTCAACAATGTAGAAAAACTAACTACCATAATTTTTTTATGTTACTGTCACTGTTTCCTGTGACTGTTCAGATTTTGTAAAATCAATTTCCCTGCCTTGTAATCAACAGTTCAACAACACAATCAGGCCCATAGCCAGGGGGTTCGGGGGGTTCAAAAGAACCCCCTTTCTTACCAGGAAAAGCTCCCCTCTGGGTAAAATTTTATCTAGGCACACGAAGGTTTCATGGTAAAAGGTCCACTTTTTCAGTCAAAGAACCCCCCTTTTGAAATTGCTGGCTACGGGTCTGAAAATGATAATGACCAAATGTATGCCTAGATACTACCTTTCTCACTTTCCGCCTTATGTGCCTCCCCCACTGCTGGGGATCCTATGACAGACACCGTCCTTGGGGGACAGGGCGTGGCAGTGTTACCACCATATAGTAATTTCAATATACGCCATGTCTGGGCAACCTGAGGAATATGTTAAATATTGGGGATGTGACATAAACAGGATGGAGAATACTATGATTAACGTATGTTTGTAATCCAGTTGTATTTTACATAAAATCAGTAGTATAATCAATAGCAGAAAAACACATTAGGCCCCTTTTATAGAAATGATTTTCTTTTATAACTGATATTCCTTACAGAGGAGACAACTGAAATCTTTTTCACTAAACTTTGATTTTATCTAATATTACCCATACCTGGTGTTTATTCAGACTTCCTGCTACAGCAGCATTATGATCACAAAGGTCTTCCACACTTTTCCCGCTCAGCTGGTATCTAGTGGCGCACTCTATGAACCACTCCAACCCCGTAGACTGAAATGATACCATTTTCAATACTAAAATTTTATCTTTTTTCCTGCATATTGTTGATAAAATGTCAGCAACTCTAAAATATGTAATGTCCTAGACTCATAATTTGATTCTGGAAATATACCAAAGTACACTGTAATATCAGCCCCTTTCCCATTATATTTGATAACATCATCAAATATTCACAAAATGAGAAAGCAAATGGAAAAAGAGGAACAATATCCAGATAGGAGGAGGAAGTTACCATGCCTACATAACATGAACTGTCACAACCTGACAGATGGGAGGAGGGGCCTGGCATTAAAAATTTTAAAAAAGCAGCTGTTTGATGGAAGTAAGAGGGTGGGGTGTATTGACAGGCAGGAGGAGGAGTGGCCTGTTGCCATGCCTACCTTATCAACACTTTCAAAAATGACAGCTGAGCTGCTTGCCATGGTGAACTGCTCACTGCGATCAGGACCCTTGGAACGGAAGAAATGAGGCAACATTGAGGACCCAGTCTGGGATTTACCTGGAATTATTGAGCAGATTTGGGTTAATTAGTTGATCTTTTAATGGGGAAAAATTGTGGATTTTACAGATACTGTATTTTTTAGTCATAATTTCATTAAATTAGAACACTCCTATTGAGTGGTAGCAACAAAACAGAAAAGTAGGTTACTTATATTCCACAAATGCTATGTAGAAATATAATTATAATAGTGATTATAAAATCGTGTATCTGAAAGTTTTTAATTTTTGCCCAAAGATCATGTCAATCCCAAGCTACACTAATGTAATTTACTTGCAACTAGCACGCATCACTGAAAAATACCAGTGTTTTCAAATTTTAAATAAAACTAAGTTATTTTTAAAACTTGTTCAGCAGAAAAAGTGTTAATCATTCCTGCCAAATACAATGCAAAAATCTCATCAATTGGACTTACCAGCAACTAGCAGTTTATCACTGAAGGCGAGGCCCAAGTCTCCATTGACATTTGTATCTATTCCTATGGGATTGGCACGGTCAGCTGGTCTGACGGCATCCTTGAACATGTGCTGGTAGACAGTGCAGTCTTTGCTACCACTCAGGAACACATAGGGATCATTCTTCCACATTATTCCTGATCAAAAATGGATATACATTTCTATACAGGTTCAATATGTGTTATACAACTTAGTAATACTTAAAACAGGGCCTCTCCCCTTATACAGCTTTTTTTCATGTTAGTGGTCTAAATGAACAAGAACAAGTAGTTGGGACAGACTGCAAAGTGAAAAATATTGTCATGATTCAACTGGTTCTCCAAACACTAACATATAACATACTAACCATTCATGGCTGCTCCAAGTGACCTTATCTAAAAGCAGTTAGATTTCCAGGACTGGAGGAGAAAACTGTTACACTCCCCATTCAAAATTATGTTCCTGCAGACATTAAAAGATACTAAAGGTCCAAAGGACCTGCTCTACAAGAAACCTGTGGGTTTTCTTCATTCTGTGCAGGTCCAAACTAAGTATTCAGTCTATGTTTTATTATTATGTATAGTATTTTTTCATAAACCATGCTAACTCAGAGGGACTGCAATATCAAATATCTTGGAGGTCCTCAGGCACTTCAAGCAGTCATGACCAGTCGGACAGGCAGTTTCACCATTACATGTCTGTACCTGAAGTATACCTGTACTGGTCCTCAGAGGAGAGAAATAAGACCGTAATCTATGCTTAACACATATATTATAACATTACACACTTCAGTTACTTCACACCTACCAGTGACCACATCTCTGTGTTCTTCAAAGGAGGCAAAAGGTATGTATGGCCTCCTGATATCCCAGACATTGACATTATGATCCACCAGGAGCGAGCAACTGGATATGTGGTACTTTCTGGAAGGCCTCCACTTGACTCTGGCTACAGATGCAATTGTCTGAACAGTATGCAGGAGGCGGGGTTTGTGGGATATTTCCCAAATCTAGAAATTACAAATTACGTAAAACAAGGCTAATAATATTTTTTTTCCACAAAAAATGTCCGAAATTGAGTGATTAAAAACTTATTTGTCAATTTACAGTAAATGCAGCACCATGTATATAGACTGAGGTTTTTCTATACATTACTTTTAAATGCTTGCTCTCAACCTGAATAGAACTGCATTTTAATAAGCAGGCCTGTAGCCAGGTGGGGTTGGAACAAACTGCCCTTTATACCATGAAAAGGTCCACTCTGGGTAAACTTTGATCTAGGTACATAGAGGTTTCACTGTAAAAGGTCAAGATTTTCCAAAATAGAACCTCCTCTTTGAAACTGCTGGCTATATATGGGCCTGATTTATACAGCTGCTTACATTATCTTATTACCTTAATAGATCTATCTCTGCCCGCACTGGCAATCCAGTTTTTATCATCAGGATGCCAGTCCAGAGTAAAAGCTGGGCCGCTGTGCGCTGTGAACATCTTTTCCCACTTGTCAGGTCTCCGAAGATCCCATAGCTTTGGTGAAAAAAATATCATAATTACAAATATAAAACAAATCCAAATCTTTATCTAACAGTATACAATATAACAAAACAATAACATCAGATATGGAATAGGAATTAGTAAAAAAAAAAAAAAAAAGGCAACAAAGCTCTAAGATGTACAGGCAAGGGTGTTAAATGTACAGACAAAAATGGAAAACAATTTAACGGATCAAGCTGGTTTTCAAACCCAACCTGCATCTAAGTCATGTTCATCATGCATATACAACTTCAGAAAGCTAAACACACTACTTCATTACAGCCCCAAGTTTCATCTTTATAGAACTTGGAATTTAGAAATCTCTGCAGGGGCTTAAGAGGAGTGGAAGGAAGCTTTTTCAATTTGATAAAAATGTTGACAAAACCACCTTGATACACCTACTGATGACTACAAATGGCTAAACAAGCTTACCGGAAAAAAAAAAAAAAAAAAAAAAAAAAAAAAATGCAGTTATGTATGAAAATTTGGAAAATGAATCTGATAACTGTGTTGTGTCTGAAATCCAAACTACATTAGTACAAATAACAACTCATATGACATTTACAGAAGTGTTCATTTCCAGTTAATAAATACAATAATCATTGCCATGCTATTTTAGTGATTTATTTATTGTAAGAATACAAAAATCTACTGACCTGTAAGTTGCCATTCTCATAGGCTGCAGCAAACTGGAAGTAGTGGTGAGGACAAAACTGGACATCTCGGACACTCTCGGACTGACCAGAGAAAGTACAGTTGACCTCCTTCTTTCTTAAATCCTGAAGAAAAAGTGAGAATGAAATGAATAAAACCATGAAAGTGTTTGACAACAAAAAGACATTAAATGTAGTTATTCAAAACAAGTCCAAGTACAGTATCATATGAGAAAACAAATGGAAAAAGCATTATAATCATAAAGGTTTCCATGCTTAACATATACAGTAACATATATAGTGGTCAAAAACACTGAAAGTTAACAATATTAATGTTACAGCAGTATTGTATTGTTTAATCACATTTCAAGTTGTTTCAATCACTCACATATTGTTATTAATAAATCATATATGCAACCCTACATGTATAATCAATAAATGTCATATCATGCAATACAATTGACTGAAAAACCCTTTAAGAAATAAAATGAAGCAAATAGCACACACTTCTAATAATAAGATGGGCATAAATTGATATATTGTGCAATCCAATCCTCATTTATGATTCAAAATTCTTTTTTTTTAATGAGAAAAACCAGCTTGTAAACAATGTATACGTATACAGTAAAGAAACAAAAATCATACAAAAAGTTTCATAAAACCATCCTGTGAACCACTAAGTAGTAGGTTGGCCTCCGTGGAGTGAAAACAGACTCTGTTCACTGTCCTCTTGTGTTCATTGAAAACCAACTCTGAAGAAAAAATAGGTCAATATAGCACTGAAACACATTAAAGCACCATGGAAATAACTTTAAATATGAAAAATAAATTTCAGCCTGAACGCATTTTTATAGTGCTTTTGTGTAGTGTCAGCCATTCTGCCCAAAGATGGGTAGCCTTTATCAGAAAACTGAATTGTCACTGTAGCCATGTGCCAATATATTGAACATCCAGTGTAGATTTCATCTTCATTCTTTGTTTGACTGAAGCTAAAACTGGATAAATTAAAATCTACACTGAAATTGGCAAATTTATATAAGAACAGTTAACACAATTTTCTTGTGCTATGTCTTTCTTTCCTTCTTCCTTTCTCTCCTGCATTTTCTTTCTTTCTTTTTTGCAATCGTTTTTCATGTGTGATATAAAGAGCACCTGTTACCTTGTTTTGACCTGCTTGGCTTGTTCAGATTCCAGGTCACCACGGCTCCATTGGTAGCTGCTGAGGCCAGCAGGTGGTCTGGGAAGACAGAAAAACTACTCACTGAATACTATCTATTTTTTAATTTAGAAGAGCTTATCAAAAACAGGTGTACAGATTGTATTTGGAAGATAGATCACATGTGGTGCTAGCTCATTAATTAACTAACTTACTAAATAAATAAATAAATATGCATTAAACTGTTTTACATCTGAATGTTTCTGCATCGAATAAAATTTAAAGTAAAAGGTTTTAAGATTGACACATTGCCAATGGTTTTTGATAGGATGTCCCTTGTTGATTATTTAAAATAATGTTTAAAATGTCAAGAAAAATTTAAGTTTTACTGTATAAAATATATTGTCCATTGCAACCCTTAAAGAGAGAAGGGGTAAGATTTCCAAAAATTTTATAGTTTGCTATATGAAGGTCAAAAATTCATCTGTGTCTTTAAAGGTGCAATTCGACTGAAGATAAGTAGACACGTCCTGTCCAAAATGTAAACACACCTTCCACTGGGTTCCAGGTGACATCAGCAGCACTAAAGTTGAGATTCAAATTCTTTCCAACTCTCAGGTTGCAACGCTCCACAAAGGCATCATCTTCTATGGAGAATACTCGAAAAACTGAAAAAAAAAAAGTGAATAGAATCTGTTAAGCTGACAAATTATTTCCTTTTGCTTATTTTTCAGTTTCTACATAGATGGTGTAAATGACTGTGTGAACTTTCATGTATCGCATTTGTGGTGACATACGTACAGTCTTATGCTGTTTACTAATAAATTAAAATAAATATTTTTCAACATAATAAATGCATGCCTACTTCTACAAATATGACGCCTATGCTAATAACATGTCTAAAATGCAATAAAAAAAAAAAAACAAAAGGAACTCACACTTATTCATCATATTCTAATGCCATTCAGAATATTTTTTCAGACTGAAATCTTTTTCTTACCATTCCTGCCTGCAACCACAACCTGGGATGCATCCTTGTTGGTGCTGATAGCATTAATTGGAGCCTCAATCACAGTGTGCATGGTTCTCGCAGGTACATGGTGGGAAACTGCAATGTCAATAACAAAACAATGAGAATTCATTACCCTCTACCAGGGCGACATCGATTTTCCACAGATATGTCTCTAGATAAATAGACAGTCATTTTGGCCTGATCTCAATTCAGCCAAAAATGTCCACAATAATAACTGCGACCCTGGTAGAGTGTAATAATTCATAACAGACAGTGACATTCATCATTGTGAGATACAATAATAACAACATACTACTGTTGAGGAATAGTAACAATAACAATGTGTTACTGCTGGGACAGCAACAATAGCATCTCATGATGATCACTGGGAAAGAACAACTGTTACAATAATACATTATGGGTGAGTGACAACAACAATACATTACTGTTAGGACAGAACAACAATGACAGTGTAACAACTGCAACAACAAAGACTTTCGCACAAAAAAGAAAAATTCTTGTGTTATACCAAGTTCATAACAAATAGAGTTTTTAGGCTAAAAGCAATCATAAAACAATGTATTGTACATACAACTACAGTCACACATACTCATGCGNATGTACAGACACATCTGTGTCTGTACATAAAAAAAAACAAAAGGAACTCACACTTATTCATCATATTCTAATGCCATTCAGAATATTTTTTCAGACTGAAATCTTTTTCTTACCATTCCTGCCTGCAACCACAACCTGGGATGCATCCTTGTTGGTGCTGATAGCATTAATTGGAGCCTCAATCACAGTGTGCATGGTTCTCGCAGGTACATGGTGGGAAACTGCAATGTCAATAACAAAACAATGAGAATTCATTACCCTCTACCAGGGCGACATCGATTTTCCACAGATATGTCTCTAGATAAATAGACAGTCATTTTGGCCTGATCTCAATTCAGCCAAAAATGTCCACAATAATAACTGCGACCCTGGTAGAGTGTAATAATTCATAACTGACAGTGACATTCATCATTGTGAGATACAATAATAACAACATACTACTGTTGAGGAATAGTAACAATAACAATGTGTTACTGCTGGGACAGCAACAATAGCATCTCATGATGATCACTGGGAAAGAACAACTGTTACAATAATACATTATGGGTGAGTGACAACAACAATACATTACTGTTAGGACAGAACAACAATGACAGTGTAACAACTGCAACAACAAAGACTTTCGCACAAAAAAGAAAAATTCTTGTGTTATACCAAGTTCATAACAAATAGAGTTTTTAGGCTAAAAGCAATCATAAAACAATGTATTGTACATACAACTACAGTCACACATACTCATGCACACAATGAGAGAGAGAGAGAGAGAGAGAGAGAGAGAGAGAGAGAGAGAGACTGGACAAACATACTACGTACATTTATACATAAATATAGACATGTGCAAGTCACACACACACGCATTCAATTTTTTTTCAACAAATGTGCAAATATTTTATGTGTCTTATTTACCTGTGCAATAACATCTTTTTCTGTAGGCTTGTAAAATCAAATACATTTCACAATTTAGAGAATATGGTGTCATCACATTGTAGGGCTTAAACATTCTAGCTTGTGGCCTAAAAGCCGATGTCCACCATTGCCATTTTTGATTCAACCACTTGATTACTATACATGTTCAATAAAGCTAAACTAGTACTAGTACTCAGTATATTATGGCTTTAGCTTGTGATGACTAAGGCTTCATGCACATGCAATGTCTATTTTCTAAATTCTATTTTCTATTCGCGGCATGTCTTATGCTCACGGCGTAATTACTGGCAGCGCGAACCAGTTACTATAAGTTACTTTAAGTAACTGGCTCGCGCTGTCAGTAATTACGCCGCGGGATATTCAGGGCACAGACCATGATCATAAGATACCGCGAATAGAAAATAGAATTTAGAAAATAGACATTGCATGTGAATGAAGCCTAAGTCTAAGGTGCTGTTCCAACATTTCATTTGCAATAAAATGGTTTGGGAAAATTGCTGAGAACAAATAATATATTACTTCATCAAACAGCAGAGAAGAAATTACAAATTAAATTTCATAACACATAAGGCTGTTGAAGTTTGTTTTTTGAGTGGCACCAACAATTATGTTGGTTGCTATGAAAGATCCACTCTTTAAAAGACTTGGCACAAAATAAAACACATTGACTTCTTTCAATAACAGCACACACTGAGATAGCAATAAGACAGCATCATTCACTTCAGATATCAATTCAGGCAATAATAATAATAATTATAATCAATGCCATATAAATGTTTTTGTTTCTGAAAACTTCTGTGTTGCTCCAAAACATAATCAACAAAATGAAAGCAAACAATGACACAACACTCAAGTCAAAACTTTTTTCAGTAAATGATGGTAACACTGGCCCCACCCATACACCAGTCAGTGTAGAGAACAGCTTGGGTCATGTATCAGTAGTAGTAGTTTATTTCCGTGAATGTGTGGCAACATAAAAAACAAAAAGTAATTCACAATATAACACTACATGTAACAGAGACTGCCCTCCATTACTAGTAGGTTCAAGCAGGTTTGGGTTAGTGTGATGTGGGTGGGTCAAAGAGTATGATGGGGCTTATCTGTGAGAAGCGAACTATCTTGTATGACAGCCCTGACACAGGGATAATATGAGCACTAAGAAAATATGCACAATTACTGCATGGTCAAGATTCCTGCTTTGGGCAAGTACTAGTAGACGCTGAGACTCTGGTGGTTTGATGGGCTAGCAGACTTTATCTAGCACATGATGGATAAACAAAACGTAAGCGAACACAAACCAAGTACAGTATGAATCATAAAGGTGGAGAGAGAGAGATGGAGAGAGAACACAGACACAGGTGCAAACGAAAAAGAAACTTACGATTTTCCAACTTTTGGGACTAAAACTACAAAAATAAAATCAAGTGCAAAATCACCTCGGTCTTGTACCGCCTTGGCAACACTGTGCATGATGACATTCAGTTATTTTCACTTCAAAAACTCGAATATTTTTCTTCTGTTGTCTTTCTTCCCTCCTCCTTCCTGCATACACATGTGTAGTTTACATGACGTCACTGGTTTGTGCGTACACACCTTCGCGGCGGCGGAAGTCGCACATTGGAGGGATTTTAAAAATCAAATACGAATTTGTTAAATTATTTCCAAAGACTAAATGAATAGACCGAATTTTGGGAACCCTTACGAATTCGGGTCGCCGTTTGGAGGGCCGCCACGAGGAGGAGGAGGAGGATACAACCAGCGAGGATCACCCCGTCACGGAAGCGGTGGAGGGGGTTTTCGGACCCCGAGCCCTCACCATCACCCTCACCATAACATGCCCCCTCCGCCGCGGCCGTTCTCTCCGCAGTACGGAGGACCCCCTCCACCTTCTCCAGACTTTAGCCCACGGGGCATGAGGAGCCCCTATAGGCAGAATTACACCCCAAGGCCGCCGTATAGCGGTGGGGGTAATCATAGAGGTGGGGGATGGAGCCCGAGTCGGAGTGGAGGATACAGAGGGCGAGGGAGAGGGGGGTTCTCGCCCTCGCACGGGCATGTGAGTAGATTTTAAGACACTGATATGAGAGCCTTTATTTATGAGAAAATGTATTTAAAGACCGCCACATAAATTTATTGACATTTATCCATGCTTCTTGTCCTTTTCATACATCTTATAATTTTTTTAAATTTTTTGAGGGGATTTTAAAAATTGTAAAGTGGATTGACGTTTTTAAAGAATGCGTCATGGAAGAAACTGTCATAATTTTCATTATGTTTATTGATATAAATTCATTGATGCATTTATCAACATTTGAAGTACAGAGAATACTGATAGTTAATATAGTTTCTTGTTAATAATTTAATAATAATAATATAGGAATTGTTAAATTGTCAAAGTTAAGAAAATTCTCAGTTACCTTAACCATAAACTTATGGTTTATTTTGATCTATTTCTCAGAGTTAATTTTAAGTCTGGTTGGGATTGAATGCATTATGAAGTTAACTATAATAATAATAATTTATTTTCACTGTTTCATGACCAGTTCAAGCACAGAGACAGGAATCCCGGTAGCAGTGATAACATAGAGGATTATTGTAAGGACTCCATGTTAGCAGATCCCTGGGAGGGAATGGTCCCAGTGCCAGTGACACGCCCCTTGGACTTCACCACGTGACACAGGGGAATAGGTTGACAATGAAATGACATTGAATTTGACATTCACAGGGTAATAGGTTGACATTGAATTTGACATCCGATTGACATTGAATGACAAATCTTTCTCTATCTACTGGGGGAATGAGAGACATGATACCGGAGATTTTTCTCTTTGTGAAAGGTCTTTATATATGGCTGGGTTGAAAATTAAATGCTGTGCCTTGAAATATTGGTTGAATTTCAATTCACCACAATGATTGCCCATAAGTTTGCTTGGTATTTCTCAAGACCTGGGCTCTTTTTGACGAGGAGTGGAGATTTCACATGCAAGACCTTTATAAGCAGATGTGAAAAAAATGATGCTGGAGATGCACCTTGGAATTAACTTTCAATGGAAGATATATGATTTTTAAGGCCATATTTTCATATGGCAGAACGAAATTATTTACTTGTACATTAATTTATATAGCAACTTACTAACGTGCAGTAAGGATAATATTCAGTGCCCAAAAATTCACTAGATGAAGTGATAATGGATTTTTAAAACAAACTTCACTGACTGACTATTCTATGTGGAAAATCATGATTTTTACATATCTATTCTGTATTTTTTAAGTCATCAATTCTTAAAATTTACACGTTACATTGGAGTGATAGCAACAAAAATGAAGAGTCAACTTCGCCACAGTTCTAATCTACTAGTATACAGTTGAGGCACCAGAAATGCTATACAGACTGTTCTTTTTTTTTACGATTTCAAAATCACGTGTCTGACCTGATATTATACAGCTGAATTCTACATTATAAGATAAACCAGAATGGAATTTTTACAAGAGCAATAAGATGTAATAATATAATTGTAATTTTTAAACCCAAGTTGATTATTTTATTCAAGTAGACTGAAGTGAGAGTGTGTGGATTTCAAGATGAGACCAGAGTGGATGTAACAATTTAAATCAATGAAAAGGGCTTTTACAACGATTAGTTTAGATTTAATTAAAACATTTCTCGTATTCACAAAACGTTCAGAATGCAGCATTCTAAGATATTTCATCAACAAAAGTAGGCTATTTTTATTTTATTTCTTTTCTTAATTTCATCTAAGCACCAGTATCTTGATGGCAGTGTTTTACTGGTCATGAAAATGTAATTTAATGGAATGCTCTTTGACCAAATACTGCAGGCCATCTAAAGAGGGACTACAAAATTTGTCCCATTTACAGAGATCAAGTTGGGCAATGATTATACTAATGGCAAAAAGAAAGTTTTTGTCCAAGACAAAGAAGATAAAAGTGTAGTTTCAAGGCATAGCAACAAGTTGAGCAGTTTAATGTTGAGTTTATGAAAATATAGCACCTAGAGCTTAATTTTTTTCTACACAAATCCATAAAGTACATTTTAACAAGACAACCGCGAGTCAGGTGGTGATACACCCATTAAAATCTGCCTTAAATATATTTCGACTTGTCTTTGGATGGTAACCACAAACACAGCAGGATGGGAATGAACGGCCATTGAAAAATTAGGGGTCTGAGGCTAACCCCAACATATGTATGCACTAAAAATCAAGCAAATTCCATGTACAGAACTAATTAAAAAGTGATTGATCAGATAAAATTGGACCGACATCAAGAGATAGCTACCCCGAGTGCCAGGGCACAGTAAAGCTAGCTTGTTAACTATTCATATTTCTTGTTAACTAGTCATGGGATCGCCAGTTTTGCTGGTACGGGTTATATATGAAATCAAGATTGAACTGGCAAAACTGAAATCTAGAACCTCGGTTAGAGATAGTATGACCCATAATCATATAAAAACAAAGTGACAATTTCCAACTATATTTATTTTTTATATATAATAACAATATCAAGTCCAGTTTATAAAGCCACAAGCAAATTTACTGTAGTCTACATACAATTACACCAACTTTCTTTTTTCTCCTATCCGTACTTTGTGACTTATGATCACAGTATTTATATATTTCAACTTTGAACACTGAATAATGATTTAAGTTTTTTTCACTTCCCTTTGCTTAGAAATTCCCTTCAATGCTAGCCCCACATCAGGCTATATTTGGTCAAACTCTTGAATAAAACCTTGGCATTCACACTATTCACACTTTTTTAAATGGCTTTGCCAATGTTACTGTAGTATTGATGAAAATAATCATATTGAAAATCATATGCATATGCTGGTGACACCTGTAAAACTTGTAAACAATGTCATATAATCTTCAGAAATATTCATCATGAAGGATTCCTCAACTACCGTTTTTAAATTATAGCACTTGAAATCCATTTTGAACTGTGAGGATCACTTATCAAGACTTTGAGCATCAGCACAGCCCTTTAAAAACCCATGGGGGAGGGGGGGGGTGCTTGCTTCTTACCCTACTCGGTTCAAAAAGACTCTTCCATGTCACACAAGGCATCATCCAGTTAAAGATCCAAGGGTTGGGAGTCGGGCAGGTAAACACTGCTGCAGTTAAAATTTATGATAAGATTGGAGACTAGTAATCCATGTCAGTTGCAACGGGCAACAAAGCAACCAATCTCATTATTCCACAAGTGATCTTTCACCAACACTAATACTCTGGAAAATGCAATTGCAATTTGTCGTCTTTACTTCTTAGTCCTACTAATTGTCATTTCTATTCCACAGTAAACATGTATTTTGCTGGTATTTACTTACAACCAACTAATTCTCCTTACAGCAAATTCTGCTTACTGTTCAAGTCATATTGCCATCTGAAATGCCCAATTGTGAAAGTCAACTTTTTTAAATAATTCATGAATTGCAAATGGAAAAGTTCATGACCTGAAAACTGGGACAACTCCCCCTTCTAAAAAGCACGACCAGATATAAATGTACTGCCACTCTGAGGTTTGATGAAATGAATTGGTAATGTTAAAGCTCCTAACTCTCGCTCCAAAAAAAAAAAAAAAAAAAAAGCTGTTGAAAATCCATTTTAATTCCATATATTTCTTCCCCTGTTTCCGCTCTGAAAATCACCAACTCTACCACCACCTGCCCTCCGCAAGCCCGGGCTCTGGTCCAGCATGCCCCCTGGTGGTGAACTAGTCACCTGACTCATGCCCCCCACGGAGGGGTAACCTTGGTAACCAGGTCTTTGTGGAGTCGTCTCTCTGTATGAGCCCCCTGGTGGATTATCTCCCAAATAACCTATACTCTGGGGGCCATCACCCCTGTATAATCCCCCAGGAGGAGGATCTCTCCTATAGGTGTCAGCACCATACATATCCCGGTCCATGCCAGAGTTACTATTCTCTCCATGTGCATATTGGTCAAAGAACTGGTTCTCGTTAGAGTCGTTGGGACTTATACTCATTTGTGTCACGTATGTGTTGCTGTCATATCCCCCTGCATTATTAGCTTTCGCGTTGTACTGTGCTGCCCCCTGTTGTGACGAAGAAGTAATTCCGGGTGCACTTATGTCACCACCACTACTACCACCGGAACTATTTCCCATGGTGACTGGAATCCCTCGCTGTGTAAGCAACTGCGCCAGTGCCGCTTTGACTCCTGCATTACCATCTCCACTATGAGGCTTTGCACTCCCAATATCTGGTTCTCCTCTCACAGTTCCAAATCCCGCTCCTTGCTGCACACCTCCACTGTACAACGATGAGTTAGTTGCATCACTGATCACGTCTGCTCCCTCTGGTGGTGGTGGTGGCGGCTTTTCCTGGGCCTGCTTGGCAGCCGCAGCCAGTAATAGCTGCATGTTCAAATTCTCCAGCAGTACCGAGGTGGCCCCGTCCAGTGGCACGTTTAATAACTGAGCCAACTGGGCCACACTTAGGCCTTCCCTAGTTTGCAGCAAGGCTGCCAAGCCTGCCAACTTGCTCTGCACACTCTCACTCGCATTATCCACTGCTGATGCAAGTGCCCCCTGCTGTTGTTTTGCTACTGGGGGCTGTGTAAGAGCCGCAGGGGGTTGCTGGAGCAAAGAGGGTGCAGGGTCTGACCCAGGCTTACTTGTGGTTCCCAAGTCAAAGCCTGGTATCTTTTCATTGTCTTTTCCGATGCCCAGGAAACCTCCACTCGATTTTAGACTTTTAACCACTTTGGATTCAGTCTTATCCAGGTTGTCTTTCTCCTCCGTGGGTGCTGTCCTCTTCTCAGCCTCCTTTCGAGGTTTCTCGGCAGAGTCTTTAAGAATGGGGAACAGATACTTCGACTGGGAAGTTTCATCGGACTTTTGGTCAGACGAGGGTTTGGACTTTGAACCCTGGGAGGCCTGCTCGGCCGCTGCCTGTTTTTGCTGCGCCTCTTTCATGCTCTTTTTCCTCTTCTTGCTCCATAACTCATGACAGTCTTTGTCTTTTGGAAGGCTGGAAATGCAATTTGGACGAGGCTTAAAATTATGAACTGTATAAGCAACTTCTTGCTTTGTGAAGTCAAAATAAGGCCACTCATAACAAATAAAAAACTGCCATTACCTCAAGACAACAAATATGAAATTAAAGCACAAGATACAAGCCCTCCTTCCACGTTAAAAGACCATTAATCAGAACACAGACAGAAAGAAACAAATATTTTCAGCAACACTAAACTATGCACACATAATTGTATTTAAATATATAAATTCCAACAAAAAGCATAAACAAACATACACGCATATGCACAAAAACGTACATTTACTCTGATGGCGTATCCAAGATGTACACTAACACACACACTTGTACTGTCTCTCAGTCACATGCAAGCACACACATACACAGTTACACTGGTACACACACACCCACACACACACACACGCATGCATGCAAAAGCACACACACTTACTCTGGTGTGGGAATGGAGGCAGTGTCAATGTTCTCCAGTCAGGGGTTCTTCAGTGCCTGCTCAGCACGCACGCCACACGAGCACAAACACACACACACACGCACACACACACACACACACACTTACTCTGGTGGTGGAATGGAGGCAGTGTCAATGTTCTCCAGCCAGGGACTGTTCAGTGCCTGCTCAGCATTAATTCTCCTGGCCGGGTCCAGTTCCAACATCATGTCCATCAGGTCCAGGGCTGGCTTGGGAATGCTGGGAGAGAATTACAGTAATTACTGGATCTTTTCAATGGGCAAAAATTATCAAACGTTCAGATAATATGTAATTTCATAAACACAAATATTATGTTTCTATATTGCAGTTGTAGTGTTTTTTCTGCACTGAATAGCTACAGAGAAACACAAATTTTGATTTTGTTGCTACCACTCCATAGGAATGTTTTATGTTGATCAGTTTTGTAAACTTTTATCAGATCTTATTTTCTTTTTCCTTACATGACATTATGTAATGTTTCATCTTAATTTCTCTCAGTACAAAACCTGAAATCATCCGTTTGACTCAGAAAAAGAATACTTGATTATAAAATTCAAAGGTGTTGGGTGTTGAAAGGCAAAAGGAGGGGAGGGGGCTGCTATCACTGTTGCAGCAAACAAGCCCAAATGACAAGCAAGGGCTTAAGTGTCCAGCACTTTTAAGTCATCAGGTATCTCATTTCCTATCCAAAATGGTCAGTTAAAGTCAACATAGACTTACAATGAGAACTCCTCTTTAAGTCTCCTCCTGTACTGTTTCTTAGGTTTGAAAGTGTGGAAGAGGGGCAGTTTGATGACCTCTGGCCACACAGCGGGACATGGTGTCCCACACGTCCGGCTGATCAGCTCAAGTTGGGCCAGCTCATGGTTGGCTTGGAATATCGGTCTCTTGGTGAAGAATTCTCCCAGAATGCACCTGGAAATAGAGCAAGAAATCTTAGTGAATTATGAAGTTTCAAATCCACTACTGGACTTATCATTTAGTACATGGTAAGGATGCAATCTTTTCAGTGGAAAGAAAAACATCAATCCTTCAGATACACAACTCTTTAAAATCAATTAATTACAGGCCCAAAGCCAGGAGTTTCAAAGTGTTTGAGTGGCCTTTTTGCCAGTAAAAGGTCAGCTCTGGGTAAAAAACTACCTACGTACACAAAAGTTTCAAGGTAAAAGGTCCCCTTTTTTCAGAACAAGAACCCCACCCCCACCCCACCCCTTTTGAGATTGCTGGCTACAGGTCTGCAATAATAACACTCACCCTACGCTCCACACATCAATAGAAGTCCCATATCTCTCCTCCCCCAATAGTAGCTCAGGTGGCCTGTACCATAGCGTGATCACCTTGTTAGTGTATGGCCTCTCCTTGTCTTCAGCCTGGTACAGACGAGCTAGGCCAAAATCTGCCAGCTTGATCTGACCCCTGGTGGAGAGAAAAAGGACTAAAGAAGAACTGATACTCGTGGTAACTCAAAATTGTAAATTTTATGTTTAAAGGACTTGGTTATTGAAAGGTGTCCGCTCATTTATTTTAGTTCGAGGTAGCCCAAATGTGAACTCAACAGAAATTGAAAATTTATCCTTTATCTTTCTTTGCTAATTCTTTCTGTATAAAAATGTCATTTACCATCTATATAGATAGATAATCCATAACTTTCAAATCTTATAAATGGAGATGAAAGAAGTAAAATCTAAATGACTTATGAAATTTAAAAAAAAAAAAAACCCACACTGACTTTGAACTTTTTCACGCCCAAACTCATCACCATGCCACCCACCTGTTGTTCATGAGAATGTTTGAGCACTTGATGTCCCTGTGGAGGAAATTTCTCTTATGGCAGTAGTTGAGACCATCCAGAAGCTGTTTGAGGCAGGATGCAATGTGGACCTCGTCAAAAGTCACCAGGCCAGACTCCAGAAGCCCCATTAGATCATGGTCCATGTATTCAAACACTAAATAGAAGGCACCTGTGGAAAGAAGTAGGTCTTTTTTAAATAGCACAACTTTGATAATTAAAATAACTTATGAAAAAATTAATATTCTTTTCTAGAGAAGTCTCATAAGATCATGGGCAGTGTATTCAAATACAAAGGAGGCACTTGCTAAAATACGCATTTATCTTTCATAAATTTAAAACATTTTAATATCAAACTCCATCATTCATGTCAATTTGAGGGAAGCACTGTCTCTATACCTTTGTCCTTTCTAAAGTCCAGAGCATCTTTCTTGTCAGTAACAATCTCTTTCAGGTTGACAATGTTTTCGTGGTTCAGCTGCCGTAGGATTTTGATCTCTCTCACTGCAGTTATTGGGAACCCTTCTTTCTCATTTTCCAGCCTCACTTTCTTTAAGGCCACCATAGCACCTAAAATGATAATTTCAATCAAAAAGTTAAATGTAAAAAAACTTGTCATTTAGAAATTCAACCTAGTGTAAGAAATAACATCAGCTCTAAAACTAGTCGCACACAAAAAAATTGATATACTTGATTATAAAATCAGATAAAAAACAAACCTTACTCTTGTTTCTCACCATGCTACAAAACAGCTAACCCTCCCCCCCCCCATCCCCACTTTTTTTTAAGCAATGAACTAAATCAAAATATACACAACATCCTGTTTCACTAAGAGTCACATAACAATGCCCTTCATCATGCATCCTGTGACAGATCTGNGGGAGGGGGGAGGGGGCTGCACTCACTGTTGCAGCAAACAAGCCCAAATGACAAGCAAGGGCTTAAGTGTCCAGCACTTTTAAGTCATCAGGTATCTCATTTCCTATCCAAAATGGTCAGTTAAAGTCGACATAGACTTACAATGAGAACTCCTCTTTAAGTCTCCTCCTGTACTGTTTCTTAGGTTTGAAAGTGTGGAAAAGGGGCAGTTTGATGACCTCTGGCCACACAGCAGGACATGGTGTCCCACACGTCCGGCTGATCAGCTCAAGCTGGGCCAGCTCATGGTTGGCTTGGAATATCGGTCTCTTGGTGAAGAATTCTCCCAGAATGCACCTGGAAATAGAGCAAGAAATCTTAGTGAATTATGAAGTTTTCAAATCTACTACTGGACTTATAAATTTAGTACACGGTAAGGATGCAATCTTTTCAGTGGGAGGAAAATATCAATATTTCAGATACACAACTTTTTTTAATCAATTAATTACAGGGAGTTTCAAAGGGTTTGAGTGAACCAGCCTTTTTGCCAGTAAAAGGTCAGCTCTGGGTAAAAGTTATCTATGTACAGAAAGATTTCAGGGTAAAAGGTCCACTTTTTCAGAAAAAGCAGTCCCCCTTTGAGTTTGCTGGCTATGGGCCTGAATTAATGACACTCACCCTACGCTCCACACATCAATAGAAGTCCCATATCTTTCCTCCCCCAGTAGTAGCTCAGGCGGCCTGTACCATAGCGTGATCACCTTGTTAGTGTACGGCCTCTCCTTGTCTTCAGCCTGGTACAGACGAGCCAGGCCAAAATCTGCCAGCTTGATCTGACCCCTGGTGGAGAGAAAAAGGACTAAAGGAGAACTGATACCTTTGGTGCCTCAAAATCATAAATTCCATGTGTAAAGGACCTGGTCATTGAAAGGTGTTCAGTCTTATTTTTGGTTCGAGGTAGCCCAGTTGTGAACTCAACAGAAATTAAAAATTTATCCTTTATCTTTCTTTGCTAATTCTTTCTGTATAAAAATGTCATTTACCATTGACAGATTATCCATAACTTTCGAATCTTATAAATGGAGATGAAATTTTGCAAAAAAAAAAAAAAAACATTTTCACGCCCAAAACCATCACCACGCCACCCACCTGTTGTTCATGAGAATGTTTGAGCACTTGATGTCCCTGTGGAGGAAATTTCTCTTATGGCAGTAGTTGAGACCATCCAGGAGCTGTTTGAGGCAGGACGCAATGTGAACCTCGTCAAATGTCACCAGGCCAGACTCCAGAAGTCCCATAAGATCGTGGTCCATGTATTCAAACACTAAATAGAAGGCACCTGTGGAAAGATGAAGGTCCCTTTTTAAATAGTGCAACTTTGATAATTTAAATAATTTATGAAAAATTAATATTAATATCCATTTGATCATGGGTAGTGTTTTCAAAAACAAAGTAAAACAAAGTGAAAAATTATGAATTTATCTGATAATTTTACCTGTATTTTAATCTAATTTTTAAAATCCATTCATTCACATAAATCAAGTTATATGTGGACAAAATGGAAAATGTCTAAATATTACAATAGCAAACTCCATCATCCATGTCAATTTGAGGCAAGTACTGCCTCTTTACCTTTGTCCTTTCTAAAATCCAGAGCATCTTTCTTGTCAGTAACAATCTCTTTCAGGTTGACAATGTTTTCGTGGTTCAGCTGCCGTAGGATTTTGATTTCTCTCACTGCAGTTATTGGGAACCCTTCTTTCTCATTCTCCAGCCTCACTTTCTTTAAGGCCACCATAGCACCTAAAATGATAATTTCAATCAAAAAGTTCAATGTAAAAAAACTTGTCATTTAGAAATTCAACCTAGTGTAAGAAATAACATCAGCTCTAAAACTAGTCGCACACAAAAAAATTGATATACTTGATTATAAAATCAGATAAAAAACAAACCTTACTCTTGTTTCTCACCATGCTACAAAACAGCTAACCCTCCCCCCCCCACTTTTTTTTGAAGCAATGAACTAAATCAAAATATACACAACATCCTGTTTCACTAAGAGTCACATAACAATGCCCTTCATCATGCATCCTACTGTGACAGATCCGATGCTTTTTTCATTACCTGTGATTTTATCCTTAGCTTTATACACCTGTCCGTATGTCCCCTCTCCCACCTGGCTGACTAGGTCAAACATGTCCACACAGCGCTCGCCCCATTCCTGTTTACGGGCCTGAAGGCGCCGCCTTTCATATAAACTGGAATGAAGAAGTTTACAGTTTTATCTCGAGTTGTGAAAATTCACAAAAAAAAAAGTTTTATAAATGTTGAAGTGAAGAAAATATTGTCACTTTTAAAGACAATATTTTCGTCTCCAGTCTCACTCAAAATTAAGACAAAATACTAAAAACTTAGCAGTACATAAACTACAATACACCATAAGTACAAAGTGAAAATTTAACAACAATAACAACAACAAAAATATCATTTGACATCCGTTTTCAAAATATTTTTTCAAGTCATTTTCCATATCAGGATTTCCAAATCACAAGACGAATATTCATAGAGGTAAGAAATTGTGTACTCTTTTTTCACTTGAAAGCAACAAAATTCAAAATCGAGTTAAAAGCATTTATTTATTTATAAAGATAGTTAGTCCAAAACCATACCTTGATTTGGCAGGCCTGTTGTTTTCTGCACTGTCAGACCTGGGAGAAATGAGCGGTGATTTTGGCGACCCCTTCCCAGGTTCGTCATACATCGGCGGAAGAGGCAGGTCACGCATTATACTGCGTGGACGGTTTTTGCTTGTGTCCTGACCTCGACTTCCCTTCTTGTGACCAGGACTGGGATGAAAAACAAGTTAAACTTTTTAGGAATGGTAGACTGAATTGATGTTGGTCATTATCAAAATTTATGAAAAGTCTTTTCCTGAAAAATTGAACCAGACATTGTTTAGAACCTGTTCCTGATCAGTTTTACTTTGCAAAAGAATCTAACAAAACAGATCTTGTGATCCGTACAAATGCCATCATTTCCACATTTCAAGATTTGGAAAATGTGACCACAAACACAGTGGGCAGGGGGAAAAAAACAGTTACAGTTTTTCCATCCTACAATATTTAACTTACCTGTACGGACTAAGTTCACTATCACTCTGTTCATCATCTGTCCCCATGGGAGGTAAGGGCAGCCGCGGTAATGTCGATGTTGAACGAGAGGGTGACACTGTAGGGGGTCTTCCTTGGTTATCTCGTCCACCATCGGGCCAATTCTGATCACGTCTGTCTTGACCTGTATTCACAATGTCCCGTCTTCCCTGTCCGTCCAAATTTGACTTCCCATCAATGCGTTTCGTTACAGTTTTGTAATCCGTGACATCGTGACGAACATCGTGCATAATCACCGGTGCACTGGGAGGCTCAGACACTCCACTTGAACCACTAGCGTTTTCAACTTTTGAAGTTAATTTCTCAGTTTTTATCTGGTCCCTCTGAGACCCCTGTCGTGGTGGGTCCTCACAGATTGCACTTGGTTGGTCGGGGGTATTTTTAGCACTGCTCGGCTCCGATTTGATGTCTTTATTTCTGTTTAATAATCCCTCGCGGGCTTTCCTATGTTTACTTAGCTCTGCAGCTAAGCTAGTGGCATATTTTACAGTAGTATGACTGATTTTGGTATTGGAGTATGATGACGTGGAGGCAGAGCCTCCATTTTTGGGAGATCGGCTCCGAGATCTCCTACGTGAATATGACCTTGACCTTGAACGAGATCTTCTCGACTTGGAAGATTTGGATCTGCTCGGGCTTCTTTCCCGGGATCTTCGGCTTCTTTTGGAGGTCGACCTGAAAATATGTGGAGAAATGTGAAAATTTTAGTAATTCACTTTTTGCAGTAACTGAAAATTTGTCATAACAAAAAAAAATTTTTTTTAAATGTCACTCATGTAAATGTATATCATCGATATCTGTCAAATTAATCCTATCATCTTAAACGTAATACACAATATGTACTCGTTGTAACTAGTGAAACTATAATAATCCAATTCAAAAGCTGCAACTTAAAAAAAAAATTCCTTGTGACTCTATTGTGCAGATTCCTTATCTATTCCAAAATGTGTACCTGCTACTGTATGGACTAGGGGACTTGGACTTGTGTTTTCTGGACTTGGAATATGGACTCCTTGAGCGATATCTTTTTCTTGGAGGTGGTGTAGGAGACTTTCGACCTTCATCACTATATAATCGCTCACGGTAAGCCTTGGGAGGGTCGGCATAAGCTTTTGGTGGATCAGCATATGCTTTGGGAGGCTCTGTGTAAGCTTTTGGAGGTTCAGCTTTTGCTCTCTGAGAAGTTGGTTGTGACAGCTTCTCAACATATTTTGCACTAGTAGTACTCGTAGGTTCCACATCCCGTGTCTTTTTCTGCTCTTTAGTCCTTCCAGAACGTTCATCGCGTTCATTTTTATTATTCTTGTCAGATTTTTTCACATACTCATGCTCACTGTCCTTATCCCTTACCACAGGTGAATTGCTGTGGCTTCTTTCTTTAAGATAGTTTTTGATTGCTGTACCTGGGGAGAGGCTACGCTTTGATCTCCTTTCATCGGAACTCCGCGATTTCACTATATCTGGTGGTGGAGGTGATGGACTGTGGGTTGAAAAATGTTCTGACTCCGAACTTATGTCATCATATCCTATATTTACCAATGACTTGTGAGAGTCCACTTTTTCCTCCTGTCTCTCTTTGCCATGTTTCCCCCTTTTCTTATGTTTCTTCTTGTGTTTTCTGCTATTTCCACTGGACTCGTGCGAGATCGACGAAGCATAGTACCTGGCGTCAAATTCAGGATCTACCTCGACGTCTAACTCGCCAGAGAAGCCTCCTTTTCTTGCAAAGTCCTTGTGCCCTGGCATATTTCGTTTTGATCACCACATGTTGTCTGTAGTTTGTGGAGTTCCCAGTAGATGGCTTCGTGACCTTGACCTTTTTCAAACAGATCGACGTGAAAAAATACAATCCTACTCATGTATATGCCCGCTAATTCGGGCTTTGAGAAGCCCAAGTGTTTCTCTAACTTTCCATAGCTGTAATCCACGTCCGCACACCACAAAATTCACCGAATTTCTAGATATGTTTTGGTACAGAAATGTACATTCCTCATATGCACCCGGGTGAACAGATGCTTCAGAATCTTTAGAATTCCTTTCAAACTCTACGTTATCAGCTGTAAATTCTAGAAACAAATGACTCGTAACTCTTTACGTTTTAAGAATATTTTTTAGATTTTGACGATGCAAAAAGATGAACGGTGATTTCGACGGATTTGTAACAACAAAATATTAGGACAGAATTTCCCCTCCATACAGGAAGTTCGATATCTAATAATGCATTGTGGGTAATGCAAATCTTGATGACGTATTTCGCAAGTGCTAGATTTCAAGCAGACATTCAACAAGTAAAAATCAGGTATAAACAAAATTAACTGGGTAATTAAGAAATTTAAAAGAATAGCTACCAAGTGTCTTAAGTATTTTAACCTTACGTTCTTTCTTCTTACTTCTCTCTTCCCTCCACCTGTGCAAGGTCTACCAAATCTTTTCGCCGGTGACTCCACCTCCTTTCTTCTTTCTCTCTCTCTCCCCCCCCCCCTCCGCATCTCCCCTCCCTCGATGCAATTTACCTACTCTTAATGCAATGCATCTCGGTCGGTTTAACTTGTATCTTCATGTTGTTATTATTATTATTATTATTATTATTATTATTATTATTATTAAAAATCATTCGTTTTCAGATTTAATTGGTCTTCTCATTCTGTTATACAGTAGCAGTACTGTAGTACTATATGTTATTATATTTATTTGGGAGATCTGATATCAGATTTCAAATATATATATGCCCCTTTTTCTTAAACTTAAATAGGTGCCATGAAGATTTCAGACTTGACTCATGCTTTAATTAGGGCATCAGAAAAAGGAGCAAGAATTGCCAGGGCTATTAGAGCTGAGGAAGAGCTCTTCTCTTTACTCATTGAAGAAAAACCAGAGATTATAGAACACAATAAAGTTAAACAAGATTTTAAAACTTTAGCAGATGTTCTTATACAGGAGACTATTAAGCATGACCTTGCGAAACAGGTAAAATAAATAAATAAAGAGCAGGCAGATTACCCATATTTTAACACATCAAAATGAGTCACAAGAAGTTTATTTTGACTGATTAATTCAGGAAGGTCAAGTGCATACCTACACCCACTGTCTCAAAAATATTTATAAATAAATAACTTGAAACAAAAAAAGTGAAAAATTTGTCTTTTTTATTTGATAGAGAATATCCTTGTCTCTTTCAGTTTCCAGGCCTTGAGAAATTTGTTTATGGAGAAGAAGAGAGTGAGTTCACCAACACTAATGGAGAGACAATTCATGTCAGAGTTTGTGACACAGAAGAAGAAACATGCAGTCTGCTAGGTATATCTTAGTATACATACACGTGTAGTCATTTTCAATTCTTGAAGAGCTTCTTTCCTGATACCAAAACTGTCATGTGTTTTCTCTGAAAATGGGACAGGTGATACAAACTGTTGATTGATTGTTAAAAGTTCTTTATACAGAGCCGTAGCCAGGGGGGTTCGGTGGTTCAAAGGAACTGTCCTTTTTGCTGGAAAAGGTCCACTCTGGGTAAAATTTGATCTAGGTACATCAAGATTTTATGATAAAAGGTCCACTTTTTCAGAAAAAGAAACCCTCATTTGAAATTGCTGACTACGGGCCTGTTTTATTATATTTTGATTCAACTTCATTTTACAATATTAATTACTATCTTTTATAAACTAATGGTGTGATGACAAAGCCACAACAAATGCTCATTTTTTGTACCTTCTTTCATGCCTTTGACCTAAGCATTTTCACTCCAAACACAACTGTTCTTTCTGTTTCAGCCAAAGTATTAGAAGGGAACACCAAAGCCCCACAACTCCTTGCCAAAGTTGTCCATGAAGATGTTACGCTGCCTGATATTGAGAAGATATCTGCTGTCACGGAGCAGCTCTCCTTGGACTCTGTAGGAATTTGGATAGATCCCATAGGTAAGTAAGTCTACTATTCCAGAAGTAATAGTTTCTCTGTAAACAATACCTTACATCATTTAAAAAGCTGACAGTTTTTTTCCCCACAACCTTTAAAATATTGATATGTTATATCTTTAAGAAAAAAATCTGAATTATTTTCCCCACAGTATTTTTATTCACCTTAAAGGGATAATAACTCTTCGTGTGAGATCTATATTTCACAATAAAAACATTGTGAACAACTCATACAAATATAATATATTCTGTTTTACCAAAAAACGGCAGTTCTAGCTATTTTTTCTGATATCTGAGCTTGTCTTTAGACCACGTGACCTCCATTGATGGCTATACTCTGTTATAATCTCTTAAGAGATTTTAACAAAAAACCAAACTTTTTAGAAAAAAACCAGGGACTAACTTTGAATGTAAAAATGGATTCATTAACCATTGGTTAGTATGGGAAAATTGTTGTTTACTCCAGGAAAATTCATTTTTTGGCCGAAACGAAGAGTTATTATCCCTTTAAGTCCATTTCATCCTGAACAAATTTAGAATGAATATGCCTTAAGTGCATCCATTTATTTGCTGTCATATGCATGAATCTTTAAAAGAGTGTACAGCAAAGATATGCTACCTTATATTTTCACTTGATTTGGACAAAATATTTTTAACCTAAATTTTTTTTAAAATCCAAAATGGACATTGTTTACTTCTAAGCTGTTTGATGGATAGGAAAAATGAATTCTTGATAATGTAGATAAGCATGTAAATATATGTACTTTTAAAAATTCATTTGTCTGTCCATGAAATGTTATTATTTCTATAATTTTAGATGCCACAGCTCAATACATAGCTGGTATAGAAGATGAATGCCCAGTTCAAGGTCTATATTCGAATGGTTTGCAGTGTGTCACAGTGCTCATAGGAGTATACGACAGAGAATCTGGAATCCCCATTATTGGTGTTATGAACCAGGCTTTTTCAACACGGGATACCAGTACTAAGAGGTATGAGGAGTTCTTCAAGATGACTGTTAACACAAACACACACACACATATTCTTTTGTTTGTTTGTTTGTTTGTTTGTTTGTTCGTTTGTATAATATTTTTATATCTTATTTTTAGATTTTGTTGCTTGGTTTTATTTCCTAAAATCAGTGCTGCTTGTACTGTATGTCTTAAACTCTTCTTAAAAGTTTTTCATTACATTTTATGCGTCAAAGTATCTTTATGGAAAAGGTCTTCAAATAAATATATACTANAAATATTGATATGTTATATCTTTAAGAAAAAAATCTGAATTATTTTCCCCACAGTATTTTTATTCACCTTAAAGGGATAATAACTCTTCGTGTGAGATCTATATTTCACAATAAAAACATTGTGAACAACTCATACAAATATAATATATTCTGTTTTACCAAAAAACGGCAGTTCTAGCTATTTTTTCTGATATCTGAGCTTGTCTTTAGACCACGTGACCTCCATTGATGGCTATACTCTGTTATAATCTCTTAAGAGATTTTAACAAAAAACCAAACTTTTTAGAAAAAAACCAGGGACTAACTTTGAATGTAAAAATGGATTTATTAACCATTGGTTAGTATGGGAAAATTGTTGTTTACTCCAGGAAAATTCATTTTTTGGCCGAAACGAAGAGTTATTATCCCTTTAAGTCCATTTCTTCCTGAACAAATTTAGAATGAATATGCCTTAAGTGCATCCATTTATTTGCTGTCATATGCATGAATCTTTAAAAGAGTGTACAGCAAAGATATGCTACCTTATATTTTCACTTGATTTGGACAAAATATTTTTAACCTAAATTTTTTTTAAAATCCAAAATGGACATTGTTTACTTCTAAGCTGTTTGATGGATAGGAAAAATGAATTCTTGATAATGTAGATAAGCATGTAAATATATGTACTTTTAAAAATTCATTTGTCTGTCCATGAAATGTTATTATTTCTATAATTTTAGATGCCACAGCTCAATACATAGCTGGTATAGAAGATGAATGCCCAGTTCAAGGTCTATATTCGAATGGTTTGCAGTGTGTCACAGTGCTCATAGGAGTATATGACAGAGAATCTGGAATCCCCATTATTGGTGTTATGAACCAGGCTTTTTCAACACGGGATACCAGTACTAAGAGGTATGAGGAGTTCTTCAAGATGACTGTTAACACAAACACACACACATATTCTTTTGTTTGTTTGTTTGTTTGTTTGTTTGTTTGTTTGTATAAAATATTTTTATATCTTATTTTTAGATTTTGTTGCTTGGTTTTATTTCCTAAAATCAGTGCTGCTTGTACTGTATGTCTTAAACTCTTCTTAAAAGTTTTTCATTACATTTTATGCGTCAAAGTATCTTTATGGAAAAGGTCTTCAAATAAATATATACTATTTAGAATTGATAAATTATTTTATAGTTGTTTTTCAGTTTGACTGTTAATATTTAATTTTAGGACATTGTTTGTGCAATTTGTGGAATTAATTGATCAGTGCCACATTTTCTGAATAAGTGTAATAGGTATTTTACTTGGCATAGGATATTTAGGTAAATAGTTATAGAAATAATAATTTATATCTGAAAGTGAAAAAGGTCATAACACTTGTCTTAAATAATTTATGCCATAATTTTTCATTTAGATGGCAGAGCAGATTTATTTGGGGCATCTCTTACAAGTCTATCAATATCAACTCCCTTGAAATCTCGGAAACAGGTTCAGCATCACATCCAGCAGAGCAATCAGGTGACTTGGATGAGACAAGTTCAGCGCAATCAAAAAAGGTGAAGATGTCACACCTAGCACGGTCAAATGCAAGTCAGGAAGAATCAGATATCCCAGCAAAAATTATCAGCAGCCCAGGTGAAAATCCAGAGATTTTATCCAAATTTTCTGCAAAATTTCAAGTAGTTCATGCCTGGGGAGCTGGAAACAAATCTCTCTCCATATTGGACAACATTACGGTGGCCTACTTTAACTCTGGTAGCGCCATCTATAGATGGGACACTTGTTGTGGTCATGCCATTCTCCGCACCTTGGGCGGGGCAGTGCTGGACTTCCATAAAGCATGGGAGGTGGTCAAGTCCTGCAAGGACGCTGGGCAGCTGGAAGATGAACTTCAGAAGACAGAGTTGACTTACCATTTTAAGAATGTACAGAAGGAGTTAGGGGCAAAACAGTGGGCCAATTGTGGAGGCATTTTAGCCTACAGAGATATAAAATATGTTTCAGATATTCTCAGTTGTTTGTGTTAAAATGATTTAACCAATGGCTAATTCAGAATATCAAGAGGGGAGTCAATTTTCTCCTTATAAGTTGCTCTCTCCCTCTTATGCTTCTTGCTCTCCCTTTTATTAACACACCAAGCCTACCTCCAGTATAAAAAATTATCTGTGATACTATGATAAATTAATTTTTATTGTCTATATCACAATTGTTGTCATTTTAAGAGATTTAAATACTGTTAATTGGAGTTGCAGTATATGTTATTTGTGGAGGGACTGAAGACTTCTATGGAACAACAATGATAATTGTTTTTGTCAACATTTGATAATAAACTGCTAAGTAATTAAACTGGGTTTCTCTGGTTTCTCACCATGGTTACATCTTCAGAATGCATCTACATTTGGGAGTGTGCTTTCTAAAGTAAATTTCTGACTTTGCATCCATAATGAAAAAAAAATAGGATACACATGCTTTGACTTTGCCAGGTATAGGTGTCTCTGAATTTTTGGGAAAACGGATAAACGCACTTTCCCTTCTGTCATAGGGACATGTATGCCTGTTGGTAATACATTCTTGTAAATATTATATACTTTTATGAATATTTTTGTACATTGACTAAATATGAAAGTCTAAAAATTTGTATTACAAAAGCATTGATATGTAAACGCAAAAGGAGGATTGGAATCGTTCTGTGGATGACTTGTTTTGCAAACCTCATATCGTAGTTGCCAAACACACACACGATCCTGCTAGTAAGATAACTTCCATTGTGAACACAGCCTTCAGTCCCATGACAACATTAACATATAGTGTTCAGGATGCGTTAAAAAGACCCCACTTGGTTTTGTCTTTGGCATTGCCTTCTTATTGTTTACTGCAATCACTACCCCCTATCAACGAAACTGAGAAAGCAAGTATGTGACGACACATCACATTTTTGTGAATGAAGTCACCGCACGTTCTAACGAAAGGAAAGGGAGAAATTTTTGATAGATCGGGAGATTTTTAGACTGATTCGGGAACTCGGGAGATGAGTCCCCAAATCAAGAGACTCCCGGCGAGATCGGAAGTGTTGACGTGTCTGGGAATGGGAGGAAAGACGTAGGCCTACTGGTAATTTTTACCTAAACTTCAGGCGACCTAATAAAGATGCCTGCAAATGAAAAAAAAAAAATAAATAAATAAAGGAGAAACGATGTGTTGACTTTAATTTCAACTTAAATTACTTAATCATTAAATGTTGCTTTTTTTTGTAGAGGTTGTTACCAAGATACTTAGGCCCTACGATGGAAAAAAAGATTTTATTTTGGACCCAAATCCGGGTCCTAAATGTAGTTAAGGTGCGTTTGAAGAAAATTTTAAATGGAAAACTAACCACAGTATATTGTAAACCGTCATTTTTGTTAAGTATGCTTATTTTTATTATTTCATTGGCGTAANCAAATGGTGCCGCGAGCCGGGACCCCGACATGGCAATCGACTGCAAACGACTATGAATAGTCCAATGCGCGTCTACCTGTTTCACCTGTTATAACAAGGCTAGGCGGTTTGGCCGATGAATCGGGGTCTCATTATAAACGTCACTGACTCGGTGTGAGTAGTGGACATCGGACATCTCTGTATGTGTGGAGTTGTGAACACTAAGTGGTGGATCGTGTAAACCGTCTTCGGACCGTGTTGACCTACACTGACGTGTTTGTATGATCAGTACCTGGACTGTGTATATAAACTGTCACTAACCCATCTGGACTGTATCAGGACATCGTTCACGGAGGACAGTGCCTGCGTACTTCCCTTCGGTTGTGAATGCAGTGTTACGTACCTTACCTTTGATGATCGTTCAGGACGATTCTTTTCAGACTGTGTTGTGAGCCACTAAACTAGGAACATATCCAGTGACATTCTTTTTACGGACAATGTATGTAAGTTACCACCATATATATATATATCCATTTTATGCCTACATTGACCATTGTGTAATTTACCTGTAAATACATGTCAATTGTGTGATTGGATTGATGCTGACATTGACATTATCTTAGTCATTTACCTGTAGTTATTTGTCATTGACGTAAGGGTGAATGTAGCGTTCAGTGCCTGTGCATTTGTGTCATCACACGAGCTGTTTTGTACATGTGGTTTGTCTTTGCTAGTATGTATACCACTGTGTCCATGTGATTTGGTTTCAATACTTGTTTCAAAGCTAATTTACATTTGCACTGAATTTATTTTAAGCATTTAAGCATTGTTTTCATTTGATTATTTTACTAAACATATCCGTCATATTGCGAGTCAACTTTTTGGCACAATAGACTATAAACTTGGTTAAATTACTTTGATCTATTGTTTACCATAAATACTTATCATTGTGCTGTTTATTTGTTTTCCATTTTTTTTTTTGTTCATTTTTTTGCTTTAGTTGACCTTTAATATAGTTTACCTTACCTATTAACAACCAGTCATTGTCTGAAAGCATAACTGTGAACAGCAATAACGTTAAATTGAACAAAGCAAGTGTTTGTGACTTTCAGCTTTCCAATATTGTGTTGTCCTAGTGTTAGTTTTGTAGCGTCCTGCATATTATTTAAGTTTGATCACGCAATCCGTTTAGTCACCCAATTAATACTTTCTTTCAATTAGATTCCCAATTAGATCCATTGTTTGTTTGTTTTTTCTCTTCTCTTTAATTTACTTAATTAGTACGCATTTGCATTTTCATTTGTCGGTTATCAACATTTAGTTTTTGACAGTACTATCAGTTATTCTGTTTAGTTTTTTGTTTTGAACCATAGTCTTAGTTTAATTATTTGATAAAGCACCTTTTCTTAATTTTATTTTTTCATTTTCCGTTAGTCATTTCAGTTTTGTCAATCCCATTTAGTTCATCAACATTGTTTAGTTTTTTATTTTGACATTAGTACATTTCATTAGTTTTGAGTTTATTTTGTTTATTTAAGTTATAAAACTTAAATTACATTATCATAGCCTAACTCAAACCCCATCCTATTTTTCTGTTTGCTGGTTATTCCAATATACCCTTTGCTTTGGCTGCCATTTATTGTGCTTACTGACCTTTACTGTATTCTACTTTGCTTTACTTTGATTTGCAGTGTTGTGTTGTTTGTGAAATCTTGCAGTGACCTACCTTGCATATACACTTACCTCTGTTTCATTTTAAATTGAACTGTTTCTTTCTTTAACTGTAATAACATTCCTTTCTTGTTATTCTTTTCAGATTTTCACCGGTTTCCAGTATTTTCCGACTTGAAACTTGTTGTATAGTTTGTAAATACTGTCTACATTCCATACACTCATTTCACTTTTATTTCTTTTATCTGAGTGATTGGTTTTTGTACAAAGTGTGAAATTGTGAGTTTGCATTTTTCATCATGGCTTCTGGTGGGAAAAAGATGTCTGATCGAGAAAAAAATATACTAGTGAGTGCGTTTGAAGCTCTTGATGTGAAACCCGACTTTGAACACATGGAGGAATGGATGGAGCATTATGTACATGTAGGAAGCAGAGAGAGAGTTGGAATGGATAGTGATGATGTGAGAGATAGAAATGTTGTTCCAACACATATTGGCTTCCCAAAAATTGCCATTTTCTCTGGTGATTCCCAAAAAGATGTTTCGTATGATGCTTGGAACTATGAAGTTCGCACCCTTATTAAAGAAAAGACCTACCCCATGCATGTAATAACTACCGCAGTGAAAAAATCCTTGAGAGGAGAAGCTGCGAAAATTGTGAGGCGACTGGGTGTTGACTGTAAGGTAGAACGTATCATTGAGAAATTTGATTGTATCTATGGTATGGTAGAGGACAAGGAGAGTTTGTTATCGCAATTTTACAGTGCAAAACAGAGAGACTGTGAGAATGTGTCAGCGTGGGGATGTAGATTGGAAGACATATTGGACAGAGCTCTAGTAAGTAAAACTATGTCAGATAGTTCTGTAAATGATATGTTGAGAATGAAATTTTGGAGTGGTTTACATCGGCCATTGAGAGAAGCTCTTAGACATAAGTTGGACATGGTGCCAGAATTTGACCATTTTAGAGTAGAAGCAAGAAGGGTAGAGAGCGAACTTGGTTTACAACCAGATGAGACAAAAGAGAAGAAGTCAGCACATGTAAAATGCATTTCTGCTGAAACTGATCCAGAGGAAGACCTCAAAGGTATGATTTTTCAAATTAGCTCTAAGCTTGATAAGATACAGCAACAGTTTGTTCCTTCAAAAACCGTTGGTGTTAATGGTGGTGCTACTGAGGAAAGGTCTTTAAGTGCAAATTACCGTGGTAGAGGTTTCCGTGGAAGGAACATGAACAGAGGTCGTGGACGTGGTTATCGATCTTGCAGTAACAGTCGCAATCAGTTTTTTTCAGCAGATCAGACTTCTTCACGGGCACATGGAGCAACCACAGATCAGAAAGGTAAACCTAAGAAAGAAATAATTTGCTACCGTTGTAAACAGGCTGGTCATGTTGCAATAGGTTGTAGAGTTGATCTTAGTGATAATTTAAACTCCAAAGAGTCTGCCTAACCAGTGCGACAGACTCCGAGCAGGTTGGAAAGGATGTCAAAAATGTTGTTGGTAAGTCTAATGAATGCCTTGTTTCCATTGGACATCTGTCTTTTTCAGCTTTGTTAGACACTGGTTCGAATGTTTCCACAATATGTGAGAGTGCTTTTAAAACATTTGAGAACAAGTATCGATTGAGACCATTTGACTTTTGTAACCTAGATATTGAAGTTGCAGGTGGTCATCAATTACCATATTCTGGGTATATTGAGGTGGATGTTTCTATACCAGGAGTATCTAGTCCTGTTAGCTGCCTGATGTTGGTAGTGCCCGATACCCGTTACGGTAAGAATGTTCCAGTCATCCTTGGTACAAATGTCCTAGACTTGTTGATGAAAGACATTGAGGGTAAATATGGCGTGAGATACCAGCAGGTAAAGCATATTCCTAGTTCTCTCCTGTTGTGTATGAAAAGCATTAAGCTCAAGGAAGATAGATTAAGGAAAAACAACCATCAGATTGGTATTGTTAAATCTGCTTCTTTAGAGAAAATAGTGATACCTAGTAACACTTCAGTTTTATTGTCTGGTTTTCTTGACAAGAAGGTATGCTCTAGTACAGGATATGGGATTGTGCAACCCTGGCAGAAGTCATCTCTTCCCACAGGAGTAAGTACAACCCCTTGTTTATTATCAGAGCATCAGATGGCTAAGAATTTCCCGATTCAGGTAAGCAATCTGAATTCTCATCCTGTTGTAATTTCACCTCATTCTGTGCTATGCCAAG